GTATAGAGACAGTAAAGAGGCCAAATAGAAGAGGTTCATTTTTTATTCTTGTGTGTTTAACTATTTTAGTGAAGCATTCTGTTTTTCAACTTACAAAATCCACCAAAATAGCAAATGCACCATGGCATGATGCAACTGACTCTTAAAGAGAATGGGAGAGGAGACTCTGATTAGTTTAATGCGTGTTAAGCTCAAACACAATCAAAACTCATTAGGAGAATAAGCACAACTCTGTTAGACCATGCGCCGGGGCGCAGAGCATATTTCTCTGTCCTTAAAATAGCAAAAGTGGAATTGGACTCGCCCTTAATACTTTTGCACCATGCGGTTTAGACTGTGCACCTAGATCATTAAAATAAAGCTCTCAGTCTTTGAAATGGTCATTTTGGAGTCAAAGCTCCTAAAATGTATTTCCTTATTCTCTGCTTACGAGCAGTTGCAGCCATTTGAAGCTTTTTGGCTCGAAACTCCCGGTCTCATTCACTTTCATTTATTTTTAGACGTCAAAAACAATACGTTGTTGCAACACTTGTTTGTAGAGCGAGTAGTTTGATAGTTTTATGCAGTTTATTATTTATAATTTCTTCCATAATAAGCTGAATCATAAGTTCTAAAACAATTGCAAAAAACTAGCACACTTTCGCATTGAAGAATAAGGTGAATGTTATCCTGACATGTTAGCCTTAGTTAACAGGCAGAGTCGGGTGACTGCATTTGACTTAAGTGACCACCAGTTGATAAAATGAAGCGGAGTAAAAGGAAGCTGAATATTAGCAGCAATGGAAACAGAAATTTAAAGCAAAAAGTGGACGAAAAAAATAACAAAATTCCTTCAATGTCCATGATAGTCCAGAAATTCCTTTACCAGTAGGAACCATGGGACTAAAACCTATAATGAATGTAATCATGTTTGAAGCAAAAATAAAGATATTTTTAAACAAATCTGACAGTTTCTGTACTTCCATTTAAAGTCTAAAGCTTAAAAACCTTTGTAAAAAGATGAATGTATAAAAGCCTAAATTAAATGTTCGTTACAAAGAATGAAAATGAAAAATGTTCATCCACTCAATTCATATGGATTTGCTTGTCTAAAAATGGCAACATTCTCAGCCTGATCTCAAGAGGAAACATAACTATTTTACATTTTGTTAATTTAGTGTCTAATTTTGTCATAAGAAAATGTATGATTTTAAAGACGTGGCACCAAATCCCACTTCTAAACCCAACCGTCATTGGGGGATAATCAAATTTTAGTCAATTGTACGAATGAGATCATACAAATTAGCCATTAAATTAAAAAGTTTTGAATTGCCATGAGACAGCATTGGCAATCTAGGTGAAAAGACTTTACATTTAGGGGTTGAATTCACTCAGATTTGATTTCATTTGGTTAATAAAGATTACCACGTTTTTCACGTTTGTAATGACATGAAAAGTAAATGATGACTAGATTGTTAATGTGTCTGTTTAATATTAAATTGTTTTAACTTTGTTTTCTTCGAGGTGAGAGACCTGGAGAGTGAACTGGAATCTGAGCAGAAAAAAAGCAATGAACTCCAGAAGGGAATTCGCAAATATGAGCGAAGGATCAAGGAGCTCACCTACCAGGTACAAAATCCAAAAGACAAATTCATGCACAAGTCCTGGAATTGCACTTTTCAGTCCTGATCTCACTGGAAAACAGTGAAGAATTTGTAGGCCTATTTCTATGATTTCATTCATATGAAAATCTAAAATGTTTAGACAATTGGATGCATGAAGGCTCGCCCCTTCTGTAAATACATCCATCACTGGAATGTGAGAATATTGTACAAAAACAAGAGATTGTAAAAATGAATTGCCATGGAATTTCATTAAGCCTGTGGCCTCGTTTGCTGTTTCTACAGACTGAAGAGGACAGAAAGAACATTGCTCGCCTCCAGGAGCTCATAGACAAGCTACAAGCCAAAGTTAAAACCTACAAGAGACAAGCTGAAGATGCTGTGAGTCTATCAGCAAAGCTTTGCATGCAACCTCATCATGCATACTTAAAACGGCATCACTGAAGGTTCCTGCTGATTGTATAATTGTAGGAGGAACAAGCTAATTCCAACTTGACCAAGTACAAGAAGATCCAGCATGAGCTGGACGACGCTGAGGAACGAGCAGATATCGCAGAGTCTCAAGTGAATAAACTACGGACCCGCTCCAGAGACTCTGGCAGTAAGACTACTCCTAAGGCATGTTACCAATGTCATTTCGTCTTAAATTAGATTTTTTTCAAGGATGTAATGAATGAATTTACTCAACTTTGTTTTTACTCATTTCAGCTTGCAGAGTGAAGAGGAAGGGGCCATTAACTGTGGCCACAAAACCTATGAGCAAGTTAAAGAAATCTGTATGTAGAGCATTAGAAATGGGTATATTGTATTTAACTGTACTACTAATATATACTGCAATCAGTGGTGGAAAGAGTACTGAAAAATGATACTCATGTAAAAGTACCATTAACTTGCCCCAAAATATAGTGCAAATTTGACAGGACGAGCACTGATTATTATTTACCTAATCAAAGTAATGTCAGACCAGAAAATAATCATATAGGCTAGTTTTTAGTGCAGGAAACTACTGATACAGCACTAAAAATTTACTCAAGTAAAACTACACATATTTAAAACTACTCAGTACAAAAAAAGTAACGTCGAAAAAATTACTCAAAGTAATTTGAGTGCTTGTAATCATTACTTTACGCCACTGACGCAATTACATTATCTCTTTGACTGCAAACTTCCATTTACACATAAAACATGCCTTTTAGAAACCCTCTTTATGAAGTATAAGGCGTTTTGCAAAAAAATATCTGTATTTAAAGTGTAACTGTCCGACATTTCGAACATAATGAGTACCTTGAAACTGCTGTCATGGTGCACTAGTCACGGCGGTCGTCATGGACTTATGCTGACACCTAGCGGCGTGGATGGAGCACACGTTTCTATTCACTATTTGTAACATTTTGTTTAGAAATCGATACTAACAATACTACGCTTTAAATTATTACTATGTGCAAGAGTTACCGATATTAATAATGAAGATTTGTGTGTGAGTAGACATGTAACCTGAATGGCGTCCACCATGAGGCGACCCGCACCAGAAAGTATGGAAGCCATAGATCGATACACTAGTCTAGATATCGCATACGGACTCTGAGCCTGCGTCAATAGCGCCGCCACATTTGTACAGTGCTCCCAGGGCAAATGTCGTTCAACCACACGGGAGTAGTAACAAGCTAACAAAGAAAACAAAACACAATAGGCACAAAGGCAGAACATTTCATAGATAAGATTTAGCTTTTTATGTTTTTGTAGCCAATGTTACAAACTCTTATGCTCAACAAGTCACGTTATTGATGATAATATAGTTACTTACAGCAGGGGTTCCCAAAGTTTTTAACACGCGACCCCTAAAATAACAATGCCAGTGACTCGCGACCCCCAATATCCTCTGAGGTGGTTATGAATACAGAAAACTTGCATGCAATGGCGAACACACACACTCCAATAGACCAAAGTCTATTCTTCGTTTATTTTGTTTATGTATGTCAGTGCTGTAAATGGGCCAGAAAGTTTAACCAGGTGTTATAAAATCAATCTGCTGCATCTGAAGCTATTGCTGTCTTTAATATAATGTATTTACCCCAGGGGTCGCAATCCAATAGAACAAGTAAATAAGCTACTATAGTAACTATAAACGACTGTTTGTTTCTCTTCAGTTGGTTATGGATAAAATATGTTAATTCTTATGGCCTAATAATAATAAGTAGATTTTTGGAAATCACCAGGCGACCCCCCTTCATTGTTCCACGACCCCTCAAGGGGTCCCGACCCCCACTTTGAGAACCACTGACTTACAGCACTGCCACTGACCATAAGGTAAAGTAGCACCAACTTGCACTAAATTCTAGACTGATGCTAGTTACCCTAAATAAAACATAACGGCAAAGCTCTGCGGTGCCAGAAACATATTATTGTCGGCTAAGGTCACAAGCGTTAGTTTCTAATGTAACTTATAAATGTGCCTGATAACATAACAGTGCCTGCGCCACAATGTGCATACTGTCCACCCTAAATTATTGAATATTACAAATGTTGTACCATTTAGATCATTCACAAACGAATCACTTCCTCCGTTAGCGTTAGAAGTAAAAGCAGGAGAGCTGGTGTGTTTCAGGACATGGATTAGATCAAATTTAACTGGGGAGTATAATACATTTCCATGAACACAAACACGTTCTTTGTTGGTAAAGCCCGTGCATTCACTTATCCATCGGTATAGGAAAGTGATATAAAGTTATAATTGTTGCATACTGACCACCAGGAAAACTCCTGATCATAGATATATGTATATATGCTTACATATACATGGCTCTGGATGGCCAGTCCTCCACTGCACCTTGGTCCCACATTAATTTCCAAGGAGCGCTACCCTGTACTAAAATGGCAGCTCTATTGACGCATTCCTTCCAATAGACATCAACAGTGTAGGCGGCATCTACTGTAAATATCTATGTATAGAAGCCAGTATCTGGGCCTATTCAATATGTAGGTGCACATGATTTCCAAAAATTGTTAGACAAAGAGTTAATAAATTGGGCAAAGAAATGCACTTTTAAAGTCATTCAGTCAAGTAACTGTATCGAGTGCATTCATACATAAGAATTGCATGCATTGAAAAACAATTTATATACGAAGATTTGTTTTAGAACAGTGCTTCATTTTGAAAAGGTTTTTCCAAAATAAAACAGATTAGATCATTCCTTTATTCAAAATGAGACTTGAATAAAAAAAATTAACGTTTAATAATTAGAATGCTCTTATATTGTGCCTTTTGCACCTACAGTGTCTTTCAATTGTGGAATTGTGCGAATAAAAGATAATAAAAAGCCTGTGATTACTGTTCAAACCCCAGGAGATTATTTCAGACAAAAACTTAGTGAGAAAGAGAAAACACCATCAAACTTGAACTGTCGGAGGCAATATATTGAATTCAGGTTTATTTAAAGCATTAAGTTTACTGGGCTTGACATGGTTACCACGTATGACTGAATTCATTCAGAGTAAGAAAACATCGGTATTTAAAACAAAACCCAACCCATGCGAGACGTGAACCAAGGCCTGTGGATAAAGAAGAGACATTCAGATCCTTTGTGTTGATGTTGCAATCATTCAGAGCAGAAAAAAGCACATTCACACTACAACTAATACAACAACCATACACATTCCTGGGGTCAAAGAAAGTGACCAAAAAACTCCCTCCTCTTCTTATGAATTGTATGAAATTGTGTTTCGGCAAAAGCAAAGCACCGTGACAGTATAAGGAACTGCTTTAAAGAAAAACAAAACAAGAGAAGCTGCAAACACCCACAGGTAAAAGCGAAGCAATTCTCAATGTCAAACACATTTAGCCATTTACACACAGGAACGTTTGCATACACAGTGAAATCAGCTGCAGCATGCTTAAACTATAGGAGTGGGTTAGAAAACAACACCAGTGAAACGAGGTAGTTGATTGGAAGTTTCTAGTTTAGCGCTTCTAGTCTAGCTCAGCTACCACATCCAGCACAAAGCCACCGCAGCGGAGCAGCACCTTCCCAGTCGCCGTCTTCCAGAGCAACAGACTGTCAACGGCTTATGCCTGTAAAGTTTTGAAGATGGTGATTTAGTGGTTTGCTACAGAACAAATGACAGATGGCAGCATGGAGGTTAGCAAGGCTAGCTGGATATTTCCGACCATGGTGTGAGTGAACCTGCATAGTTTAACACCTTCAGTGGCCACAGGATATGAAGTGTTTCATCGTGACAAAATAAAAGAAAAGGGATGATTACCTATTGTTAAAAACTAATTTATACAAAATTAAAAATATAAGAACTGAAAATCTCATATCTGATATATGTGCTTGATAAAACCTAACGAAAGGAAGGAGAGAATACGAAAACCAAAGCTCATCATATGAGAGCAAAATCACAAGAGAAATGTGAGAAAATAAATTAGACTCGACCAAATTCTGTTTCCTGTCATCTACACTGTACAAAGATTTTGACATCGCTCCAGCATGAGAGCCATTCGCCTCTTCAACATCAGTTAACCTTCTGACTGCTTGGCAAATTCACCATTCCTCAATCCCACACTTCCTCATCCAAAAATGAGAGAAAATCTCTTAGAAGGCTGGCTGTGCAGTTCATCGATCGTCAGATCGTCATCATTCAGGGATGCAATATTATTTTCTTTGTACGTTTCTGTATAAAAGGCCCCACAAGATTTCACCTCCGAAACACACGACGAGACAGTTTCAGGTCAAAGGTTCGGCTTGAGCTGTTCAGATACTGCGTTCCTGTTGAATGAATGACTGGGTGGGCGATCCTTCGCAGGACTCTGCTTGCACCCGGTGACCTGGAGATGAAGCAGTGGAACATGGGCACCAGTAGAGAAAGGGCAGCTCACTGAGCCGCAGCATGCAGTGGGATGAGCCGGGAGGCTGTACTATATGCTCTCTGGACCGAATCGGAGCGGAACATGTGAGCCCCTCCCTGAGCCCACCCGCAAGAGTCAATCCTCCAGAAGGTCCCGGTCCAGCTCCATGTAAGGCTCGTCTATGTAGCTGATAATGGCACAGGGAGAAGTCCTGTCCTCTCCGAGCAGAACTGATACTGTCTCCTTCCAGAAACTGAAGGGAATACAGGAACTCTAAAAATAAGAACCACATTGATGATTACAAATGTAAGGTCTGGGAAGAGCCTAATTATTTATTCATGTAAATCATTATGAAGAGCTAAAACCCCAGTGAAAATGCTTGAGACATTCATCCATTTTACATTCTCCTCCTTTATTTCTGTTATTTTTCTCTATATATTACCTTTATAGAGGGTCTAGCTAGCGATGGACTGAATTTTTAGCTATCAAATTTTTTTTCTCGGTTTTTGACCAAACGAGAAAAAGGCCAAAATGAGTCAAAACTAGGCTATCCTTATGGAGTCAACCTAGGGCTATATATACACTTGCAAAATAAAAGACATTTTTGCAAACAAAAAATAAAGTATTGAGCAAAAATAAATAAATCAATGCAAATCTCCAAAAATTACAAAGAGAAAATTCATTTAAGAAATAAAAATTAATTTTGCTAACAAAAATAAAGAACTGCAAAGAAGAAAGTTAAGAAATAAATGAAATTTGCAAAAAAAAAAAAAAAAACTGCAAATAAAAATCAAGCAGTAAAAAAAAATTATATATATTTGCAAAACAAGGGGTCAGAGTCGAGGGTAAACTTGGCCGTTTGCAACAGACCCGGTGCTACTGGGTTTTAAGATCACCTTGGTGATACTGTGTCTTCAGATGATGACATAAACGACCAAGTTCCCTTGACCCCACCCACTGTCAAATCAGGGCCACAAAGTGAAACACAAAAACGAGCAAAGTAAAAAAAGCATCGCAAACTCACGGTTGACTAAAAAGCTGATCACAATTGACTGGACGGCTTTTGTAAAGGCAATGCTATAAAAGTGTTTTGCAAATATATATAGTTTTGTTTTTTTTTTATAGAAAACACTTTACTTTTGGTTTGCAAATTACATCTTTATTTCTCAAAACCTAATTTTGCCTTTGCAGTTCTTTATTTTTGTTAGCAAAATGTTTTTATTTCTCCAAAATTAAATTTGCTTAGAGATTTTTGGAAAAAAGGTTATTTTTTTGTTTGCAAATTTTTTTTATTTTGCGAGTAAAACTCTTTCACTCTTTCACCAGCAATATTCACCAAAGCACAGGAGAAGTGGATCACACCGCTCAATACCATGTATACTTTCCTACGCATGAATCACACATTTTCACCAGAAAAGCAAAGTCTGCTCAAATATTGTGCCATTGGGACATTTCAAAGTAGTTTACTAGTTCCTGCTGCTTGCAATAGCACAACTGTGTTGTCAAGGCAAATGATGTCTCTCAAGTCATTCACTGCCAATAAACATTTACTGTGAATATAATTGTTACTTTATTGGCTTGTTTTCTTTTAAAGTCTTACGAATTAACTTTTTTACTTTACTTTTTTTCTGAAAACTCTGCATTGACTTCCACTGTGATTTGTTTTCAATGATTACAGGTTACCAACATTCCTTCTCTTGTGGAAAGATCTTCTCTTGTGCTCTTGTTAATAAACTCATTGAGTATACTTCAAGCAGAAGGCAGAAAAATAAGTATAATCAGTCCTTCAGTCTTGCAGGATTACAGTATCAGAATAAAGTATAATTGATTTATTTCAGTTTAGCTCACATCCCAATTGATTACATGGAGAGGGCTAGAAATATGACCTATACTGCAGGTCACCACCAGGGGGTGAAGATTTCAACTTTACTTTTCAAGCACATTTGGTTTACTGCTTACAAGAAGCACATAAGGTAAACCAGTAGCACATGTATTTACCAAACATCCATACTGCGATTTGCTAAATTGTGCGGAGTTCCCCAAACCCTACAAATACTCACATTCTCTAGGCAGGTGCTGTCCTTGTCTTTGTTGAGGTAGTGGTGCTGCCAAAAGCGCAGCAGGTTGTGGAAGTTGTTGAGCAGGCATCCAGGATATTTCTCTGCATATTCCTTCTCCCGCAGGGCGTTCAGGTAAAACGGGAGCTTGCCTCTCCTCCGGGCCAACATCAGAATCACCAGGCTGGTGTTAAGACAACTCACGTTCTCCTGGGATAGCAGCCAGAAAAACAGGAATAATTACCACAAGAGGACTGAAATGAGGCAAACAGGTGGAGAAGATGTGCACTGTGGTCTTGCCTGTGTGAGGGTCTGCACGTTGATGATGTTGACCAGCCTAAAAAGAAAGGACAGCCTGTTCTCCACTCGAGCCATGTAGGACAGGAGACAGCACTCGGAGAGCACTTCAACCACTGCAGAGAAGCAAAAACACCCACCAAAATAGACAACGCCATTATTTCCAGTAGAATATTTTCCAGGAAAACATGCACGTCTAATGCTCTGGACAGACCATCCATCTGATTAAGCCATTTACAACATCACTGAAAGCAAGCAGATTTTTAAAGAAAATCCCAAGAAAGCTAGTTAAAGCAAATTTCCATATGATTTTTCTTTACTACACTACACACTTATGACATATTTGAAGTGCATGGATGCTTAAAATGAAAAAGCAATGTAACTATTTTAATGTTTCCATGCACTAAAGACAAAAGCTTAAACAAGGAAATATATATATCAACGCTTTAAGAAAAAAAAGTACTATTATATCCGCAGAATTAATTGAAATGATTTCAAATGGGGTAAATGCCCACATACTTTTCATTTCAGCCAGCCTCAGCGCCTCTGATGAACTGTCTTTCCATTATAAAATTGCCAAGTTTAATTCTTAGTTGATTTCTTTAAAAGTCTAATGATCTTCACTGCCTGATTGATTTACAATACCAAGTGGATCTCAGATTGGACAAAAAGCACTGGATTAAATGACATTTCCCCCAGCCATGTCTTTAAAATATGACAGTTTACTTTACCCCAGTATTTTTCGTTGGGAGTTTCTGCGCTCGCCTGCTGATCCTGACGACGATAGCAGTTAAACGGTCTTTCATCTCGTTTTACGCTTTAACAACTAAATAAATGCTTAAGTCTATTTAACTGAATGTATTGTAATGACTTCACAACATCGACGCTGTAAAAGGAACCTTGTGAAATTGAAAACAGTCACATTAAGCTTTCACCGAAAGTTTATCTTTGGCTGACAAACACTAGCTATGCATATAGCCCATTGTCAATGGTATATTTATTATATAAAAGAATATGGTGGTATATACTGTTGTTCTGTGAGTTTCCTAAATATAAATAAACATTTACAAAGATATTAAAAAAAATTATTTGTAGAATAACATTTATTTAAAAATAACTTATTTGACTTGATTACTTATTAAAATTTGATTTCTACAGGTATTTGGGTTTTACTACTATGTTTACAAAAAAAAAAGATTATGTAGGCTTGAAATTCAATGATGTATGTGTCTGTGCTTTAATGGTTGTACAAGGAAAAGCAAAGACTATAGAATACACAAGACATGTCACTCAAATAGTTTTGAAAGTGGAAAAGTGTAATGGTCAATGTGGCGAATGCAGCCCCACCTAATAGTACAAGAGCGTTTGACGTTTCTCCAAGGGAGAAACTTGTACCCAACGTTCTGCAGATTTTGAGTGATTTGAACTTTTAGAAATAAAACTAGGGCACATTCCTAATATGAAAGTTAACAGTAAGCTTAGTAAGCAATTTTGGAGAATTTGATGTTTCTCCATTTAAACAGAATTCCAGAGCATGTTGCCTAAAAGGCATTTCAAAGATGGCCACCAAGTGAAATGACATGCCTTAAAGGGACTTTGGGGAAAGCAAATAATAAATTTTCCTTTATTCATTTTCCTTCGGCTTAAGCCTGATTTATACTTCTGCGTCAACTGACCGGCGTAACCCACGGCGCATGCAACGCGCGTGGCTGTGCATTTATACTTCTGCGCGCTGTCTCTGTTGGTCTGCATTAACACTTCCGAAACGCTGGTTGGCAGTGAGGTGTAAATCTTCCTCTGTGTCGAGTTTCTTCGCTGCTTTTTTGCGTTTCCTGAACACTTCCGGGATGTACAAGTGGCTTAAACTCGCTCATTTTGAGGCAGGAACCGGCGGACGTGCAACAACTTTAACTATGAGGTCAACACAAAACAAAACTTTCCATCCGGAGCTCCTTCACGAAACTCCACGCCATTCGCGCGGCTTTCGGTCCCGCCCAGACTCGTCAGCGCTACCAAGCCGACCAATCACAGAGTTTGTGCTACGCGTTGTTGTACACATTCACTCATTCACACACATGCACTCACTCATACACTAGAACAATTTTAAGTTTCACTTATAGCGCATGTCTTTAGACTGTGCTGAAACCGGAGCACCCAGAGGAAACCCACGCCAACATGCCAGAACATGCAAATTCCACACAGAAATACTAACTGGCCTAGTTGGACCAGTGACTTTCTTGCTGTGAGGCGACAGTACTAACCACTGAGCCACCATGAATTATAATATGAAGATTAATTAAATGAAAATATGTACTGATAAAATATTTAAATGACTGTGAAATATTAAAGGTTTATAAAATCATTTTGAAAAAAATAATTCCTGTGACAGAAAGCTGATTTTTCAGCAGCCATTATTCAATACCTCAGGTAACTTGATCGTTCTAAATTATTCTAATCTGCTTATTGTTGCTAAAGAAGAATTTATCAATGTTAAAAAACATAATATTTTCGTTAAAACCATTACACTTTTTTTTTTTTTTTAATGAATCTTGAGAGAAAATTTAAAAACAGTATTTGTTTTATAAAAAAGAATTCTTCAGGAACAATTTACCTGTCATTATTGTTACTTAAGTTCATTTTAATGAATCCTTGTAGAAAAATTTATATATAAACATTTGTCAACCCGATAACATTTGAACAGTACTGTACATTTTAGATTACTTTCAATAACAATCCAAGAGCACTGTGTCTGAATTCACCTTTCACATCCTCCGTCTGGCTCTCGAAGCGATCCAGCGAGAGCACAATACAGCGGACCAGCATGTTGGAGTCAACCAGAGAGCTGTTGATCTGTGTGAGGAACACCTGGAACTAAAAGAGGCAACAAAGTCAAGCACATAATGTTAACAACAGCCTTAGTTTTTTCCAATACCACAGCATCTACAAGTACCTTTTCGTCTGTGTTCACATATTTGTTGAATCTCTTGAAGGCATCAATATTGAACTTCATAAGCTCCCCGAGCAGGTCAAAGTAGCTCTGCAGGACATCTCTGGACTTGCAGCCGCTGTCAATGATGCAGAAGAGGATGTGCTGCAATCACAAGACAACATTTCAGTGACTCATCCAGTTCTGCGAACCAAATACAGACACTCTGATGTGTTCTATTAAGATCTTCACCTCCAGCAAGCCTCTCTTCAGCAAAAACATCTGGTCTGCATATGATGTGGCTCCTCTCAGAAAGCTCTCAACAGCTCTGGCCTGCCAGAATCTTCAGGGAGAAAATATGTCGCCGTTATTCATGTGTTATTGCAAAAAACTTTAGACACACTGTTATAAATCTAGTGTCTCACCTGAAGGAAGAGTCTGGGGGTTCTTTTTTCATAACTGTCAGGAGCCGCGTGAGGAGCCCTTTTTTACCATCACACACTAAACTCCTTCAAGAGAACACAGACATGATGCATTACAATATTTGCCTTCTGAAAGCAAATGATTAAGGCTAATATATATTAGAAATTCAACAACTAATTTGTGCATTTAAAAAAAAAATAAATTAAAGACATCTGTTTAAAATAGCTTGAGAATTATGTTCCAATCCCTAATGTTAACTAATTTTCTGAAGTTGGGAGTCGACTCCAAAAGGCTTGATTCCTTAACTGTCAATGAACCCATTACTGGAACTCAGAAATCGACTCCCAGAGTTGAGTCTGTATTTTCAAACGGTCCTGAATGAAGCAGTTACATTGTACAGTTATAATGCTCTTTCTCGCGCATAATTAACACAGAAGGCACCCGCTTTGAATGCGTGGTCACACGTTCTGCGATTTTGATTTTGAATTTCACGAACACACTCACTTTCACTTTTAAATTCCTATAAAGCAGACCTTTTTGCATTTTGTTTTTAAAGATGATCTGCCTGAAATGTCAAGCTTGCGGTGTTATAAATGTATTTGTTCATAACACAGTAATGTAATGTATTTATCAAGTATTTGTTTGTGGATTTGGAGTGGATCATACACTATTTGCAGTTCGACGACTTACTTTAGCACTGCAGGTAAAATTATAATGTTATGGTATTGGCTGCTGCTACATGCTCAATTAAATGTTTTATATAACCCATGCCTATTTTACAAACAAATAAACAAAATAAACAGTAATCATAATAGCAAAAGTAGCAGAGATTTATTTATTGACAAAATCTGATCATGTGTTTGTGGTTTTGTTTTGGCCCTGAACGCACTTAATTTGACCTCTAATATTCATTCTTATTATTTATTTTGTAGATAATTACAAAAAATACATCAAAATCTAGAAACTAGTTATACCAAAGAAAATTTGTTTCAAAAAGACGATTTTTAAATAAAAATATAGCCAGTTTGACTTCTTTTCTTCCAGCGTATGCCATCCCATTAACACAACCTTTTCAAATCAATGAACAAATTGCACAAAAAAAACAGTGATATTTAAAAGTAAAGTAATAAGCTATTTACCAGAAGGCTACAATTAAAAAAATCTACCACATTTACGAGAAAGAGCAATATGATATGATATGCTTTATTTGAGGTTTGTTAATGCATGAAGTATTTAAGTTAAACATGTTATGTATGGGGTTACATATTTATTTGGTCATTAAATCTAAAATGTAAATGTAAAGCTGCAAATGACACAGTAGCATTGTGTAAAGTGTGATATGACACAGCATGTTTAATACTTGTGCTATTTTAAGTTAATGTAAAAGGAGTCGATTCTGGAGTCGATTCCACCGATCCTAAAAATCCAAAAAAAAAAACAGAACTGAACACTGCTAGTTGACATGGCATGTGGCATACTATGAGATTTGTTTGCAATGGTAATGTCTAAGTCTTTTTGTTTATTGTATTTACCAAGAAAACATTATTTTGCTTTCCAAAAATAAAAAATAATAATAATAATGTAATGAGGTGAAGTTTTATTTATGTATATGCACATTACGAAGCAATTTGTGTCTATTTCCTTAATGAATAAATATAAATAAATATATTGTGTACATATATTTACAGTCAAATTAAATTACTCGTACTGTGGCACAGACTTTGTTATATTGACTACTATATTTGTTAATATTATATACTTATTTCATATATAATAATATGAAAGCATATCAAGCAATAATAATATGAAAGCATATTAAGCAATATGTGGTTTAAATTCAGCTGTTTGAAATATTCAACAAATAAGCTAACTGCAAAAAAAAATCCCACTTATAACAGTTATAAACTGAAAGGGGGAAATTACACTTAAAATAAAATAATTGTTCAATAATCTAAATGAATGTAAAGTCCTCTATTAAGGTTTTGATTTTAGGTTATACTGTCCAGCATTTCCAGAGCTAAAACTAGTATTTTTGATTTCTGAACTATACCTGTCTGTGTTTACTAATGCCTCCACCTCAGGGATGTTTGCCTTTAGGGAAATGGCACTCAACTCATTCAGCTCCTGAGCGTTGAGAAGTAGGTACTTATTTCTGTTAACAACACAAAAAAAGAAATAAACGAATCGTCTTTGTCAATTTACAGCTATGTCACATGATTCAAAGCCTACAATCTTGCAGCTTACTCGTGGTGGTCACTGAAGCTCTGCAGAAGCCTCAAGAACTGGATTTTAAATGAGATTTCCTGTTATAAACAAAAGCATAACATCAGTGAGAATGATAAGAAAATCTATCACAGTTAACAAAATAAAGTTAAATGTTTTCACTGAGAGCTCACCGGGCTACAATCACAGTTTTCATTCTGTCCGTGAACCACATGATTAGAGGCGGTGTATTTCCTCCAGATGAGCTTGTCGAAAAGGTTGTTGAGTCCAGGAATCAAACGAAACTCCGCCAACATTTTATGCACCTAACAGGTAAAACAGGGTGGCGATTACAACAAGTCGATTTATGCACATTTTTTTTTTTACAGTCTTGATCAACTCTTGCCTGGTTCCGCTGTCGACCCATGAGCAGGACACAAAGCACGTAAAGCACTTCCACCTTGTACATGATCTCATGGACTATCTTCATGGACTGTGGTAAGCGATGTCTCAGCGGGATGGTGGCCAATGTACTCTCATCAGACGATTCTGTGAGGGAAATTTATTTTCAAAAATGCCATTATATTTAAGTTTAAAATTATTTTAAAATATCCAAATATGTTGTAGTTTATACAGTTATATATAGGGGAAAAAAAACATGAATGACTAAGTAAGTAATGATACCAAGTACAATTCGCTATCGATAACTAATAATAGTTAACCATAATAAGGCAGCAAATAAGTATATTAAAAGGATTTCTGAATAATCATAAGACACTGAAGATTGGCAAGAGAAAAGCAGAAAAATAAGATTAGGATCAAACAATAAGTTCCATTTTACAACTACAAATAATAAAAAATACATATATTGTTTCTACAATTTTAGTGTATGAAAAAAAAAGAAAAAGAAATAACAAAAACAAAGACATACTGTTTGTATAATCCAAATTCTAAAACGCCTCTAACATGAAGCAAAAATGGCTGGTGTATTTTTAAACTTGAAAATTGTTTATAATGATTTTAGATAAGGAATAAACATATTACTTACTGGCACAATCGTTTCATCTCCTGTTATATTTTCATTTTTATTCTTCATGTTGGAATGTCAATGATGTTTTACCTGTGCTGCTGTGCTCGGCTTCATCAGTTGCTATCTGCATGAGAGCATCCAGTACTAGCGTGTTGTCGAGCCAGGTGTACCACTCCTCCAGTTCCTGCAGAAAATTTGACGTTCCGGTTGCCTCAGACACCTTCCGTGTTGCCAACTTACAGAGACGCTCAATGAAGCCAGGGATGTTCAGCAGAGTGACTGGAAAACATTACGTTACATTATATCTTCATTATTCATAGCTTTAAACAGTCACCCCATGAACAGATCCTTGTCCAAAATTCCTAGTGCCAGTCAGTATCTGCAGATATTTTTGCTATTTCTGTGGAGAATTTTGTTAAAAACCTGTGGATTTATGCAGAATGATTTTAGCTGTATCATAACTAAAAACTTAATATATGAAATAAAAAATACATTTTTAACATTTCTTTAATGTTTACAATGCAAATCAACTAATCAATTAAACAAAGCAAGTCTCTCATGTAATATTACTACTATAAGACAGAACATATTACTTTACAAACTGTATTGTACATAAATCATATCAACATTTTAATATTATTATTATTATGCAATAATATAAGTGAAATAAATTTAAAAACTGAATAAATATAAGTTTACACAAATTTACACAAGTAAATAAATAGACACAATGATGGGCTAAAAATCTGCATATTTCTGTGTGCAAAGATTTCTTTGTGGGCCTCGAAATAAATAACCTAGATAAAAGGGCTGTAAATTAACCATATAACAAACTGATATTTACCAATAATCTTTTTTCTTCACAAATCTACCAATATTTATGGGATCGGAGCCAATCCTCCCTATAACCACCAGGGCTAATATTATAACTGCTCAAATGTATATTTATTAAATGTAGAGTTGAAGCCAAAATTATTAGCCCTCAAAGGACATGAATTATTTTCCAAATATTTTCCAAGTGATGTTGAACGGAGGGAGTAATATTAATAACTCATTTCTTTTGTTTTTCTATGATAACAGAAGGTGGTGCAGTGGGTAGCGCTGTCACCTCACAGCAAGAAGGTCAATCATTCAAGCCTCAGCAAGGTCAGTTAGCATTTCTGTGTAGAGTTTGCATATTCTCTCTGTGTTCACATGGGTTTAAATTGACCGTTGTGTATGAGAGTGAATTAAAGTGTATGGGTGTTTAACAGTTATGGGTTGCAGCTGTAAGGGCATCTGCCGCGTAAAACATATGCTTGATAAGTTGGCGGTTCATTCCGATGTGGCCTGATTAAAAAAGGGACTAAGCCAAAAAGAAAGTTAATAACTGAATGAAAAGTGCATAATATTTTATTAGTTATTTTGCAAGATGCTAAGAATCAGCTTGAAGTCCCATATAAAGGCTTTTTAGGTTTATTAGGTTAAGACAAGTTAGGCTAATTTGGCAAGTGGTTTGTTCTGTAGCCAATCAAAACTAAAAAAGGATTTCTTAAGGGGGCTAACAATTTTTACCTTAATAGTTTTGATATAATTTTTTGGCTAATATTTACATTTTTATAAAAGAAATAAGACTTTCTCAAGAAGAAAAATATAATAGGAACTGTTAAACATCCCTTATTAAACTTGCCTTTAACTGTATATTTAATTCATGCTGTTAAGACAAAAAGCATACTGATATTTTACCTCAGTTAATTTCTGCATATTAAGCTAATATTTTTAATAAGCTAAATCATTTTTTGTTTTTTTGCCCATTTTATTAATCCTGTCATTTTTTAATTACATTAATTCTATTTCTGATTGTTTCAACTCACTGTTTGTTTGATGACATTTTCCACAACGTTTTGCTTAGGGACTCCAAAAAGTCTAGGATCGACTCTGATTAGCACTAAATCAAATCACAATTAGTGGTTGACCTACCCTGGTTGACCTCTGCACGCGAGGGGCTGGTGTTGCGTTTCTGCTGTGCATTTTTAGCCAGAAGTGTGTGTTTGTCATCATTCCCCACGTCAGGCTCAGATATGGTGACTGAGAGAATCCGACAGAAGTTGGCAAGCTGCTGCTGGTCAAAGCTCTGAACCAGTCCTGACAGATTCGGGATCCACTCAAGCTGTATCATTTCCTGTTATGTACCATCATCAAACACCATCAGAAAAATATGGTGACATTTAGCATGAATATCACTATTCCAAATCTTGATGTAGTAAAATGTATTATACAACATAATTAAAGAAATTAAAGTATGATCCAGCTGTAGCAACAAATTAGGTTTAAATTTTGATATGCATGTATGTATGTGTGTGTGTGTGTGTGTGTGTGTGTGTGTGTGTATGTCTGTATATATATATATATATATATATATATATATATATATATATATATATATATATATATATATATATATATATATATATATATATAATCTTTTTAATATATTTTTTAATTATTATTTTTGGTTTGAGCTTCAAGATTTACTGCATATAAAATCTGTACCATCAATCACTGAATTGAAAAATGTCTGTCTATTTTCAACAGTGCACATGTTCTAATGAATGTTTATGTTTTATATTACTGTTGTGTATGTCTGTGTTGTGGTGTGTATTTTTCTTTAACTCTGTCCTTTTAATCTGTCTTGACCAGGACTACCTGGTAGAAGATATATTGTACCTCAGTCGGACTTTCCTGGCTAAATAAGTAAATAAATGAATTAAATAAATAAAATTTGGTTGTTTACGTTTTAGCAGAAGTCAAGCTCCATTTTATTTCAGGAACCAACATTTACTGCATTTTACCTATAATTATGGGTTGTATTTGTAGCTATATATCAGTGTCATATTATTATATCTATAGAATTGTTCAGCTTTATTAATATTACTATCCACAGTTTATCATACGAGTGAAATCAAATTACAAAAGACATTATATAAAATACAAAATACATATATTACATTTTATTTAACTTCAGTTCACATTTATTTAATTTTAACTTATAAAAAGTTTGAATTATAGTTTTGGTTTGCAGATTTTTATACCCAGCACTGACCTTCTTAACTCCAAGAATATCCTCAATTAATGTAGCTGTTTGCAAAAATGTCTTCTTGTTTGTCATCAAGGTGAACAGAAATAATACAAAATCATCTCTTGACGCCAGGCTTTTTGTGACTCCTTCAGTCTACGGGAAAACAAGTGCATTTTTTACTCATCACATACCCAAATTAAAACATGCAAATGCTGATAAATAAATTAATTTATAAAAGAGAAAAAAGTCTTAATACATACACATATGCAGCAGTTATACAACACGCTTAGGCAGTCCTTTACCAAGTCATCATTCACTACAAGAAGTTTAAATGAAACTTCATTAAAAACAAAGATTTACACATTTGTTGATGACAGACATACACCCCACTGATCTAGAATAGAGGATACTATATAGATCAGTGGTACACCCTCTTTCGAAAATGAATATTTGTATCCATTTCCCAGTGAATATAACAGTTTTATTAAGCAGTTATATTTATCATTTATTTTACATTAAAATAAGTGTTGGTAATGTAACATCTTTAGTAATAAAATGATAATACTTCATAAATGACAAACTACAAAATTTAAATTAAATTTGATATACTTTATACTTGATTCTTCCAGGTTATTAATTGTTTGTTTAATATTTCCCTATATAAAATATTAATTTACAAGAGAGATGTGTGATGGCACGTTCATACCAGAAATGAATGAAGCATCAAGTGTGAGTGATTTACATGTTAAATCGATGCAAAAATGCAAATAGACATCCTTCAGAGCTGTTCATAGAAATGAGGCAGAGCGAATGACGCAACTCATATGAATGAAACGGCGCAAATTGAGTGTTTTGAGTGTTTGACCCACTCGAGTTGGTAAACCTCAACTTTTTTTGTAATATACAAGTATTTTTGGGGGGTTTTCACCTTTGAACGCACTTACCAATATGCTACTGGCGGCAATGGAAAAACTGAAATTTAAGGGACATTTGCACCTTGTAATCAGAAGCTTGCTTTAATATGGGCATGATTATGACATAGTGCCTGTCTTTGGTGTCCCAAGGGGAATCCTCCTGCTGACATGAGACAACAGCTCATTAAACTGGGCTCGGTTCTGTCAGAAGTAGCGCCGAAAGCTTCAATTATCCAGGTTTAGTTTTTGGAGGAGTTGATGAACTAGATGCATCTCTGAAAGGATCTAGTGGAAAATATGCTGTTTTTCAGCCTTCCTAAAGCACAGCTACTCTCTCAATAACATCCATGCTAGCCATTTAGCAACAAAACTAGAGTCAATAGGAAAACAGAAACCCCACTCATGATGCAAATCGGCATCTATTGTGCAGTGAATTTCATACGCAAATGAAGTGAGTTAAACTTAAAATGTTGGCGCAAGCAGCATGAGTATACATTATGTAAATCATTTATAAAATCATGCAAATAAATGGAATCATTGTTTATATATATATATATATATATATATATATATATATAATACAATTTTTTATAATCAACTTACTTTTGGGCTTCTGTAGTGTAGTCAGGGTAGGTCTCATCAGAAGTTCAACCAGTAACTAAAAATACAATACAATCAGACAACTAAATGTCAATTAACTTATTCATTTATTCATAAACTTATACAATTTATTCACTTATTATTTCTTGCCTGTCACATTTTGTAATTAGAAGCAGAACTGTTACATTTCAAAGTTTGTAAAATTACTTTTACAAAAACATTTGAGATCCTTTAACATGTTTACCACAGCTCTTTATTTACTTTCCTCTTTAACCCTTTGACTGCCCCTCTACCAAACGGTTGACCATGTTTTTACTGTTTTAAATAATGACTGTTAAAGTCATTCAAAGCAAATGCCGGCAGCTGGCTCTCTGCAACTCCCATATGGTCACCCACTGAAGCTAAGCTGGGCTGCGCCCGGTCAGTACCTGGATGGGAGACCACTATGGAAAATCTAGGTTGCTGCCGGAAGTGGTGTTAGTGAGGCCAGCAGGGGGCGCTTAACCTGCAGTCTGTGTGGGTCCTAATGCCCCAGTATAGTGACGGGGACTCTATACTGCTCAGTGAGTGCTGTCTGTTCAGACTCTCTGAGGTCACTGAAAATCCCAAGATTTTCTTTGAGAAAAAAAAAAAAAAAAAAGTAAAAAAAGGGCCAAATTTGGCCTCTGTCCATCATGGCCTCCTAACTCTTCCATATCATAATTGGCTTCATTACTCCATCTCCTCTCCACCAATCAGCTGGTGTGTGGTGTGCAGTCTGGCGCAAAATGGCTGCCTTCGCGTCATCCAGGTGGATGCTGCACATTGGTGGTGTACAAGGAGATTCCCCCCCATTGTGTAAAGCGCTTTGAGTGCCCAGAAAAGCGCTATATAAATGTAGGGAATTATTACTATTATTAAAGAATGACCGTTTTAAATAATGACTTACACACACAGAATTTTTGGTTTACAAAAAAAAAAAAAAAAACAACAACAACAAAAACAAAGCATGTTAAATGAGAAATATGTTATGGCATACTTCAAAAAAAAAAAAGTTGATTTAGTATTAAAAATGTTTTATTTTAAATATATATATATATATATATAAATAAAATTGGTCTTACACTTCATATTTTTCATAGTATATCTGTTAAGTCTGTTGCTTTTACCAAACACAGAGATAAACAATTTGGTAGAGGCTGATATTTTAGAAATTAGGGGATGTGCTGGAAAAAAAAGTATTGAGTGTGTCAACTAGCAACATTAGGAGTTGCAATCGAAATAAAAAATTTTTGGTGGGGTAGTTAAAGGGTTAATGCAAAATGAGGCAGTGACAAATCTCTGTGCTGCATCACAAAATTACCAAACTAATCATATAATAATTACACATACTTAAAGTTAATTATTGTTTTTTTTTTACATGAATGAACAATGAACCATACATTTATTATAGTGCAAATTCATTTTCTGTTAAAATTATTTAATTAAAATAAAGTTATGTAAACATATCAGTTTAGAGTTTATTAACTAATGATAACAAGCACTGTGTTAGACTTCAATAATTCATTAGCAAATGTTAAACTATGTTTAATAAATTCTGTACAAGCATTAATCCTTCTTTGTTTACTACTGTTACCATCATTTTCATTATAACCTTTAAGTAGTCAAAATCAGATTTCAGAGAAAATATGACTGAATCAGAACTCACATCTACACCTCCAAACAGATCAAAAGTGTAAGTATTGGGAAAGGTAGACTCCTGCGCAGGCTTTCTGTCCTCCGTCACAAAAGACATGGCCTCCATAGACAGTAGAGATGACAGCTCCTGTAACAAAACAACACAATGTGAGAAAAAATTAAACTTAGAGATGCACAGAGAAGTCTGCACTGACTAGTCTATGTGTAAGCAGTAAGATAATGTCCCAGAGTCACAGAAAGTAGTGTCACCTTCAGGACAGTGTGTGTTCGGGTGAAGTCAGTGTTCAGGTGGCTGCTCTCGTACAGCTCCTGGAGTAAAACAGGAATCCCGTGCCATTTCGCCCTTTTATCCCTCTCCTGAAGAAGAACTTCGGGGAGCTGCACAGAAACATCTCACAATTACTGGAATTGTATTAACTTAGGATATGAGAAAAAACAAACAAACTAGCAAACAGACTAAAATTTCATTGTGTAGCTGTTATGAAGAAGATTTTCTGTCAGGTCCCAAACCTTTCAAATCTTTAAAAAATGGAAACTTTGAAAAAGCACTGTGGTGTAAAGTGTCTTTAAATACAGTGATCAGTAAAAAAAATCCCCCAAAAATAATAACCAGCAAAAACAAAACAAAAATAACTACAAGACAAGTGGCACTTGGCTAACGTCTACCTTCTACAAATAAAGAAATAAGTTTACTCAACTTACTGCTCCACACTACTCCACAACCTTACTCCTACATCCCACACCATACTGTGCTCACTCTGCCCTTTTTATAGCAGAGAAGAATGGTATGGAACGGCTCATACCATAACAGCAGATAACCATCTAATAAAAATATCCATAAACATTTATTATTGATTAGCATTTTGCTACATGTATACACTCCACTTGCATACTACACATCTTTTTCAACATAATTAATGTGTCCAGATACTCAGATTTTATAAACCAAATTTCTTTAATTGTCCCTGATGATTATAAATAGATCAAAAGTCTTTTTATTTTTAAAATAAGAAACATCTGATGAGAACATCTGAGAAAAAATTATTTTAAGAATCACAGTGCAGTCTTAAATACAAATGAACATTTTAAAACCTAAAATCTTTAATCAATTCACCTTTTTAAGACTATATATATATATATATATATATATATATATATATATATATATATATATATATATATATATATATATAAATTGTCCATTTAATTTGATTAAATTAAAATACAATTTTATATAACCAATACCACAAACAGGTATGCGTTTAAAAAGATTATACACTTTTTAGTAGACAGTACAAATCACAAATGTCTGTGATGTTTTTAGGTCTAATGTATTTATTGATTTCTACATGATGAATGAGTCTTAGCTGAACGTAACAATTTAAACATAGAATCTGTTAGAAATCAATCAAGCCGTCCCAAGACTTCTATTGACAGATGAAATTACTATCAGTGCTAGTTCAGGGTATACAGGAATCAGAGAGTGAAATTCAATACTTTTTAAGACTCTTTCCATACATTGGCAGTTTGGCACTTTAGGTTTTAACCAGTAACACTGGTGACATTTTAACTTGCAATAACTTTACTAAATACTGATTGTAAGAATTTAATCCTAATCTAAAACATTATTCTCATACTGAATAAAAATGCTAATCTAGCAGGTAGTGCCAATAGATCAGTAGAAATAATGATGTTGTCTTGGTCACTGCAGTGATTTAAAGCAGCGAGGTGACAAATCTAGCAGGATTTTATTGATATATTCATAATATACACTACCTAAATTCAGTCAAACAACTATAGATTGTACAATCAAAAATGATACAAAATAGGGCTGCAAAATATATCGTTTTAGCATCGATATCACAATGTGCAAATCAAGTTATATCACAGGATTTCAAGAGACTTCAAGTTCATTTAAACCAGTGGTCTCAAACTCAATTCCTGGAAGGCCACAGCTCTGCATAGTGCAGCTCCAACCACCTTCAATACACACCTCCTAATAGTCACTAGTAGTTTTGAACATCTTGATTAGTTGGATCAGCAGTGTTTGGTTAGAGTTGGAGCAAAACTATGCAGAGCGGCGGCCCTGCAGAAATCGAGTTTCAGACCTATGATTTAAACCATTTGGACATAATCATTATCATGTTTTCTGCTTTAACAATTACATTAGATTTTAGCAATTGGGTTTATATTATTGATACGATGAAGATTTCCAGGGCCAGGCAGTGGTGCAGTAGGTAGTGCTGTCGCCTCACAGCAAGAAGGTCGCTGGTTCGAACCTCAGCTCAGTTGGCGTTTCTGTGTGGAGTTTGTATGTTCTCCCTGCATTTGCGTGGATTTCCTCCGGGTGCTCCGGTTTCCCCCACAGTCCAAAGACATGCGGTACAGGTGAATTGGGTAGGCTAAATTGTCCGTAGTGTGTGAATGTGTGTGTGGATGTTTCCCAGAGAAGGACTTGCTGGATAAGTAGGCGGTTCATTCCGCTGTGGCAACCCCGGATTAATAAAGGGACTAAGCCGACAAGAAAATGAATGAATGAATGAAGATTTCCATTAAAATGTCCATATCTCAATACTGTTAAACTCAGTGTTGTTTATTTAAGTTTTATCTTTGTTCTATTTATTCACCTGTGCTTTAAATGAGATTATTTTGTATCGTTTTCTATATTTGATGCAAATGCGCTCCCCAACAAAATCATCACAATGAATGTAAAATTGTGATCATTTTTCAAATAGTCATCTTGTGTAATTGTATTCAAATCATATATCGCCGAAAAAAACTAAATATTGCCATGTCAGTTTTTTTTCAATATTGTGCAGCCCTAATGCAAAATTGAATATCTTGTAAACTAGCATTCAAGAGTTTTTAATGATCTTAAATTTCTTTAAGTTTAATCAGCTTTTATACTTTTTAAGACCCTGCGGACATGCTGTAGTTCTGATATTCAGAATTACATTTATATTTTCATATTCAGAACATTGCCAACTAGGCATGGGCCGGTATAAGTTTCTGACAGTATGATAACCTTGGATTAAAAAATTCATGGTAACTGTAATTACTACAAAGGAAACATTAGGAAACATTTATACTATATTGGAACAGTAAACATGTCAGGCTAAATAATTCAAATAAATCATTGACTGATTTCTTTAGAAGACATGAAAAACCTATAAAATCCTCACATATACCTTAGGAACGGTATAACAGAAACTTTTAGCGGTTTTAAAAGCTTGACTTTTCCAAACCCCAGTAAACCTTGAAACCGGTTATCATTTCATGCCTATTGCCAACAACACCTTTTTAATTAAAAGGATCAGCTTATCCTAGGGCTGTGTGGTTAATCAAAATCGAATCACAATTTCATATGTTGCGATTAGCTAAAATGCGTGACTGCCGTCTGTGTGCGACAGTCTTACTAGGCAAATGAGTGAGCAGTGCACACTTTCATTCTGCCCAATCAGATTTGTGCAACCGTACAATGCAGAACGCCTACAATGAAAAACAAACAAACAGGAAAGCGCAAACGAGTGGGATGACAGCATTTGCCGCTTCAGAAGCATTAATAGACTAATTAATATCAAAGAAAAACAGCATGTCGGTCAGTAATATTGAAATATCTTGGTTTCAAAGTCACAGACACCAAACATAATTTGTAATTTGTAAGAACTCTCGCAGAATTGTTACTAGAGCATGAGAAAATACAACCAGCACCTAAAAAACCTCCACAGACGGCTATGAGGAGTGTCTTGCAAAAAAGTCAAACTAAAAGTACTGCCAGTGACACTCCATGTAATAGCAAGCAACAGCAAAGTACAATTTCACAGTTATCTTTTTATATCTTTTAAGTTCCTTTTTTAATTAACACTCACTGCATTTTAGCAGTAAAAAGCTACGATACAGATTATTAAGCTGAAACTTGACTACAAAATTAAATCGCAAATCAATTTGAAATCGCAATATATGTTGAAATAAATAAATAAATAAAACGCTATAAGATTAGATATTTTCCCCAAATCGCACAGCCCTAGCTTATACAATACTTTTAAAATAAATATTCCATTTCATGTTTCACAACTAATTGTAAAAATATGGCATTATAATAAAAACAACATATGCAATACTTTGGAGTCTTCAAAGTGCCCTTTACACATACAATGCTTTCAATAAAATGCAAATAACTTGGAAAGGCGGGCTATAATCTTTGCATTTAACTGTGTGAAAGCTTCATTTATTTATTTTATTCATTCCTTCATATACATCAAAAAGCAAGAACTGTTTAAACTTGTAAATATAATGCAGTCTACGTCACTTTGAACAAAACCAATGCATAAATGTAAATATCACTTTCAAGTTCTCCATCTCCCAGTTTCCTTCATTGAGTTTGACATTAGATTTTTTTTATATTAAATTACACATAATACTTATAAAGTGTCTTGTGAAATTTGAAGTATTGACTTAAGACATAACTGCACAACTAAGAGTTATGAACTCCACACACTGCATGCACTCCTAATACAATCAAACGTTCATACAAACTAATCAAACACTGTAAAACCCAAAATGTTAAGGTAACTTAAACCATTTGAGGAAACCGACTGCAACAAACCATTTAGGTTGAAAAACTAATTCTAATGAGTACTGTGAACTGAATCCATTTGAGATAACTCAAACCAACTGAGTACTGTAAAACTCAAGTTAAGGCAACTTAAACCGTTTCAGGAAAACAATTGTGACAAACCATTTGAGTTAAAAAAAAAAACGAATCTATACGAGTACTGTGAACTTACTCCATTTAAGTTGAAATAATGAGGTATTTAATTAGTTCAAAACTCTTTTCAAATGAGTAGAATTAACTTTCAGTAAATTTTGAGTTAACTACACTCATTTCATTTGATAACAATAGAACACTAAAACTCAATCAGGCTGATGTAGGACACACTGGATCTCTACTAGACTGTTTTTATGCCACATGGAAACCTTAATCTAGCTTTTCCTACAAACTCTAGCATCTTCAGTGTTGAACAAAAACTGTGTCAGACAGTGTTAATGAAGGGAAAGTGAAACCTGTGTGGAGTTCCCAGGCTCAGATCATGTCCAACTCAATGGGACATCTTACATAATTCAAGCTCTGTAAACTCCAGGCCTGAGCCAGCAAAATATCACTGTCTGAGCCAATAAGCCACACAAAATGAGTGCAGTTTACTGTTAAAGCCGGCCTAAATATAACATGCATCTGGTATCTTAAGGAAGATGCCACATATTATGGACAGTATATAAAGCGTCTGTGTCAATGTGGCTCTCTAACTGCAGCATGCTCACTGCTTTGCCAGCACTTGTGAACTTTGCGATGTTTAAAATTAAATAAATAACGTTCGGACTACGTGACCGTCTGTATTTGTTTTATTCTGTAAGCTATTAATGACTTGTTTCGCAAATTTAAAATAAAAATGTTGTCACTGAGCATTGTATAAGATAAATAAGAGAAGCCATATTTAAATTTTTAGTCAACATAATACAAATGCTTGCAAATCATTCGGTTATTAAGGGTATACACAGCTCATTAATTAGTGCCGCTATGTGATGATTAACTTAACCTTATATAATTACAACCGGCAACTTAATTGTATAAAATTACAAAAAAGTACCATATTTAATTATGTTTATATACATTTTAAGACAGGAAAAAAACTGTATTTTGACTTCAGAGTAATAGTTAAGACATAAATATTATTATTCAAAAATGCTGTCTAGATAGGCAGGACATTCGGTTGTGAGACACAGCCTGTGTTTACTCCACACAGCTGATCGGTTATAAACATTATATGATTAGATATTAATCCGTAAGAGATAATATTACTCATTCTCGACTCCATATGTCCGAGTTTATAAATGGATTTTACGTTATTTGGGCTGTGTTTAAAGCCTCGTTAACCTAAATTATTATCGGACAGTCAAAGCTGAGAACAGCCCAACTGGTTAACGGCCAGTTGTCATTCTCCATTTACGAGACTTATTTTTAAAACACACTCACCGTTAGACTACACTTGCACGAATAGACAGTTTAAACTACTTAAAAGGCTTCATACACTTCATATTTGTTATGTTGGCTAACTTAAAGCAGGCTTCTCGACGGTTCAGCTTATGAACGCGCACCCTGACAGCGGCTTTTCTTTGCCGTTTCACTGTTACCTGCGTCCCTCTGCTGAAGCCTCGGCCACCGATCTGACTTTGCCGTATTCTGGTGATGATATTCCTGTTTCGAGTCCGCTTCTTTCCACCGATACAAGGGGACTCGGGCCCCAGTAGCGTCGCCATTACTTCGTCTTCCTGAACTGCTCCAAACAGGAAGTTAAAATCGCTCTGTCTTCGACGCGCGCTCGTGTGTGTTGAGCGCCCTCGCGTGGATGATATTTAAACAAAACACTAGGGGGCGCTGCTCTACGTGAGCTCAAATGTGTTTACATGTGGCCTACTGTAAATTTGTTTTAGTCTTGTTTTTAATCCAAATACCTAAAAAATGTTATATCAAGAAGGCAAGCAAAAAATAATGTCTTGTTTTTGAAATTAATATGCCAATATTAAGTTAGTTTTCCCTTAAAGGAGGCAAAATAATCTCCCAATAGAGTAAGCAAAATAATCTTCATTTTCTTTTTGACATAAGATTATTTTTCTTACCCTATTAGCAGATTATTTTGCTTGTTAAAAAAAAACTCACTTCATTTTGGCATATCATTTCTTAAAACAAGACAAAATGTGTTGCTTGTCTAGAAAATTCTTCTTGATTTTAGAATTTTTAGATATTTGGACAAAAAACAAGACAAAAAAACCTAATTAAGAAAAGCATTTTTTGCAGTGTATGATATTGAACAGAATTTTTACATTTACTTAAATAAAACAAAAAATTTAATAACTAAATAAATTATTTATATTTATATTTATAGTTAATAAGTTATTTATTAATAAATAAATCAATAAATAACTTCATAAGCAAAGTAACTTTTAAATAATAATACAATATAAAAAACAATACAGTATTTCGACATAAACATTACAACATATTTTTAGATCTATTGTTAAAATACATATTTAGAGAAAGGTCTTGTCTGCAACTGTTTGTTAAAAAAATATTTGTGTTAAGAGTCTAAAAAGTTTGCTGCATTTAACACACACTACATTACAAATTGCAAAGATTATTGTAATCTGATTACATTAACACTTAATGTAAAAAGTAATCAGATTACCAATTAATTTACTTTGAAGTTACTTTTAAAACATTTAAAATAAACTTGTGAAAATACAAAATAAACTGCAGCCCTTTCATTGATTTAATATTCACTGAGAAACATGACAATGGGTTGATCACAGCAGCTTGACATATTCAAAAGACTTAAAGAGTCATACAAAACTTTAAAGCTCTCTTATTATTCACTTGTTCCAAACACGTTTGTATTTTTTTTATATATAAAAGAAGAAAAAAAAAACTGGATGCCTGTAACCATTGACATTCATACTATAAAAAGCAATATATTCTCTGGGTGTTCTGTGTCTGAGATAATTAGTCTACAGAAATGTACATATTCTAAAGCACCAAACTTGTTCCTGGAGGGCCGGTGTCCTGCAGATTTTAGCTCCAACCCTAATCAAACACACCTGAACAAGCTAATCAAAGTCTTACTAGGTATACTTGAAACATCCAGGCAGGTGTGTTGAAGCAAGTTGGAGCTAAAACCTGCAGGGACACCGGCCCTCCAGGACCGAGATTGGTGACTCCTGTTCTAAAGTATGAAGCCGATCGGTCAGTTCCTGTCACCTGACTCGTGTTTTTTACATGGTGCGACTGGAAATGCGAGCACGTGCAAAATGCGTTCCCAATATTTGCGCTCCCAAAATGCGCTCTAAATATATTCGCGTGCGCAAAAGACGCGATATGTGAACGTACCATAAGCAGCTACACTTCTCTTCACATTCAGAAAATACCTTCACTCCAGATTCTGCACAATATTTTTTTAGGCTGAGTTTGGCCACCGTGTTTTTGGCCGCCGTTGTCCTCCTTGGTGAGAAGTATTGTTATTGAATGCTTTCTGTTCTAGTGCTGAACAAGTTTCTGGTCAAGTTAAAAACAGTCGAAGGATCTTAAGACTGCAATTCACAGCAATATTTTTGTTTTTACGCTCAGTGAAATTGAAGTTATGTCTGTATTTCCACTTGAAGAAGCAAGGACTCTTGTGTGCAAACATTTTAGCTCGCATTCTCCAGCAATTTAAAAGCGCTTGCCTATTGACTGACTATGCAGCAGAAAAAGCGATTTAAAAGAAGCATTTTTTTCTTCCAAAAACTATATCTGTAACATAGTAACGCAATTACATTGACTCCAATTATTACAGTAGAATACAGTAACGACTGTGGAACACGTTGCACCCAATTCGACACACACCTAATATTTTTCATAACATGAGCCCCTTTCACACATACAGACCTTTCTAGAGAATAACTGGCAATTTTCCATAACGTTCTTGCCTTTGTGAACAGTATTTTTTTAATTTACCGGTAAAGTCTTTCTGGTAATTTTCTGGATATTTACTGGTATCACTGTGTGAAAGAGGCTAAAGATGTCCATACCACTAAATAAATATCTATAGGGAAAATTAATAAGGAGCTATTAAAATTGATCATATAAATAAATACAATACATATAATCACATCAGTTATATTTTTTATTTTTACCTTTTGTCGTAAAATAAAATTTAAAACAAAGATTTTAAGCACATGAAATTCAACAAAGTAAACATAAAATTAAAAAGAATTTTCATTTTTTGGATTTATTCCCATTTTGCACACAATTGCGCATTGAAATCCACAATTTCATTTGCGTTATATCAAATTCCGTATGCTCTTTAATGATTGCTTTCTCTTTGCACTATCGACCAGTTTATTTGTAGTTATCCAAGGTAATGCATCCCATCAATTACGGCAATCAAAAAACATGACAATAAAACGATATTCACTTTTTACAAAAAAGCAATAAACAACCAAAATGGCACAATTAACAAAATAATTAATTCCACTTCGGGCGCACAATAATAACATATTAAGCAAAGTGCTGTGGTTTAAAACACACACAAAAAAGACCCTTACATAACGTCATCAGTGTCTCCTAGGTCTGTTTTATGCTAGTCCTCCAAGCTGGACTCCTCTGCCAGATAAAAATAAGCATTCATAGTCTCACGAAGTCCTTCGCTGACCAGACTCTCCTGATCCATTCCCTTTAACTGCCTCTTAATCATCGACCTGATGAGAAACACTAAAATGACTTCTGAGGTAACAATATGATACCAATTCAAGCATCCTACTATAAAACATAGAAATTGTGATAAAAAAAAAACTTACGTGGACAATTCTCTCCAGTTAAAATTGGACTTCTGCGCTGCTACTGGTGACGGGCTGTGAGCTGCAGTTGGGATGGAGTCATGAAGTCTGCAAGGCTCAGTCAGATGACAAAATGAACCAACAGAAGATCCTGTCAATTGAAAAAACTCTTTTTTTTGTCTGTCTCATATGCTCCACTATTTTTAAATAGTGGAGCAAAAAATAAATATTTTTGCTGCTTGTTCAGATTGCTTATTTAAAATGAGCAAAAACAACACAACTTAACTATGTGATTTTCAATCAACTTAAAATTGTGACTACATTTATGGACATCGGTAATCAAATGATTTGCCTTAATCTGATTGAGACAATAACATGATTAAGGTGTTTACACAAGTTACTTTTTGAAATCTCCTTTCATGATATGGTTTTACATGTTACAGCACATGATTCAATTAACGTCATTGCGTCATCGCACTGTCCACATTTCCTCCAGAGTTTCTTGTAATTTCGGGTGTTTAATTTTTAAGTTGTCGTCTTAACTGCAGTTTGGTACTTTCACTTTCGTTCAGTAACTTTTCATGCATGCGCTCCGTGACAAAAGAGATATTAGATGCGAGTATAAACTGCTGGAAGAATGTAGTTTTAATGGAATTTTGAACTGCAAGCAGTATGGGGAAAAAAAACCTCCGTATTTCGCGATGCAGGTGTCTGTGGTCCTTCACTGACTCGTTAGGTGCATAGAATAGTGTTAAACAACCGTGTGTATTGACTATACTGTTGCAAAATGTGGTGAAAATCCTACACGATGGTAAAAGTTTGATTGCGGAGTTTATATGTCTGTACTGCATTTCAATAATTTGACATACTCCACATGTCTTAATCAGATTTCTGTTTAGGTCAATTATGACCTTAAGGGGAAAAATTAATAAAAAATCACTGTTTACATGGTAGACTCTTAATCAGACGATTGTCTTAATCATATTAAAATCAGACTATTGGTGTCCATGTAAATATGCTCACTGTTAGCTTAATCAATCTGTGATGGGATGACATGAAGAAATTGTGTGGATCCCAGCATTTTTTTACAGTTTATGTTAATTTTGTTAGATTTAATGCAAAATAGGCTGTCTTTTGAAGGTGGAAGGACCTAAAGACCCTTTTACACCTAAAAGAATAAGTATAAAATAGTATTTACATTAGCGTCCATATCAATTCAACAAAGAAGACTGATTAATTCTGACTGACAGTAAATATTATTGTTTTTAATCATTTTTTTGGGAGAAAAAAAACAAGATTGCAATAATATGATTTTTAGAATTAGCTTTAAAACTAATAAATCTTATCACCATATATGTACCCTGAGCCTGATAAATCCCAGCTTAACAACAAACAGGTCTATAATTTCAAGATGTCCTAAATTTACAAACAAACTTTCTTTAAGCTTATTCAGAATGTTCTGAAAATATTACTGCAGGAATATTGTTTATACAAAATTCAAATACATAATTGAGTGTTTTGAAATGTAAATGGACATCAACATTTCTATCATGTGTTTGAGAGAACTTTTAAAAGTAATCAACATTATTTTATGCAAAATAACACAGTAATGTTCTCTGAGGGGCGTTACATAAAAATTGTTATATATAAACAGTCTTTTCATTGGGAATTTTTGAACAGGTTGTTAAAAAAAGAGAAAGAAAAAACATGACATCTTCCTCGATATCCTAGGTCAGTGGTCCTCAACCACGTTCCTGGAGGACCATAACTCTGCACATTTTCCACGTCTCCTTAATCAAGCCAAAGACCCTTAAAAAGCAAGTCATTTCACTCTGCGGCCATCTTTGAAATGCCTCTCAGGTAGTATACTTGGGCATTCTGTCTGTATGGGGAAACATCAAACTCTCCAAACCTGTTTGTCAAGCTTACGATTACATATTTGGAATCGCCAATAAAATTGAACAACAACTGTCTCTTTAGTTTCGTTTCGAAACGATCAAATCAAGCAAAATAGACATATTTTCAGGTTGCCCATGCTAAAGCGCAATCACACTCGAAACAAAACAAGATCATGACACCAACTTCATTTATGGCCGTGTTACACATTATCATCCTTTAATAATGCTACGGTCGATCACACTGGTCTTCTGAAGCAATACACAACTTGGTCTTGATGGGGAATCTCCTCCAGAAATGACAAGGACTCTTTGTTTTCAAGTTTTTCGGCGTTTAAGTAATTGCTGTCATGTGATTTGGGAGGAAGGACTGTTCCTCGCGTTTGTTTCATGCTGATTACAAAACCAGAAAATTATTCTTTTCAAGTGCACTTGCTTCATTTAAAAGTAGATTTCAAGCTTTATGTGGATATATTTCTTATGTCAGTGAAGCAAGTATTTGCTGATATTCCAGTGCGTTTGTTTACCACCAAACGGTCGTAAAAGCACACGTCTGGTCCGAGGTTCTCCCCTGGAGAAACGTCAGTCTAAAGCGATCACAAATTGGCTCCTGTACTAGAAGGCGGGGCTTTAATCGCCATATTAACCATTAAACTTTTCCCCATTCAAAACGCTACAAGTGACATGTCTTGTGTATGCTATAGTCATTGACTAAGCACACCTGATTTAGATCATCAGCTCTTTAGCAGAGACTGAAAGACCTGTAATGGGTGTAACAAAGAAAAGAGTCATCCAAAACATGCAGTGTTGGTGGGCCTCCAGAACCATGGTTGAGAAACATAGGTTGTCTATAAAATACTAAAGACTGATTTTGGTGGCACTTTATTTACAGTATGTACTTACTGTGCAAGTATACCTCAAAAAAGTACTGGGTTATGGTTAGGTTCAGGTGTAGTTTTAGGAATAGTAGTTGTAACCCAGTTTATGCAATGAAAATGTTACAGTAAGAACAGACTGTAATGTGCATTTAAAATAAAATGATACTCTGATTTTGATGTTATAGTCTCTGCATGTGTTTTGAAAAAGGCACACACTCCTAAAATACTATTAGTTACTGTATTTTCATTAGCAACATTTCCACTGTTGTGTTAATAAAAATACTGACTGCAGTTCACTTAATGGCCACCAGTGTTGCAAATAACAGTTTTTTAATTCCACATTATCGTAGCTCCTAGAACATATTATTTATAGCTGGATAAGATTTTGCTACTTTGTGCTCACGTGAGTAATAGTCCACCAGCTGGGAGAGAGTGGAGAAGGGGTGGTTTGGTTGGATGTAGAACCAGCCGTTGTGGAGCTGATAGATTTTGTAGTGCAGTACAGTGTGCATTTGCCCACTGTGTTGTCGCACTGACAGTGAATACAAACCTACAACCAATGCAAATACAAGCTTTATGGTTATGAAATCCAGTTTAAAAATAAAAAAAAATCAATAAATTGCTTGGAAGCACTAACCAGGGAATGACTGGCTTTCACGAATTAGAAAACATCCAGAGTAGTTTTGAGGCAGCATTAGTAGTTGTTCTGCATTTCTCCTGGAGATCCCTTCAAAAAACCACCTTAATCCAAACACATAAAGCAATAATAGACACAGTCACACCATTTTCTAAAGCTCTCAATCAACATTGATAACCTATTGGATTATAGTTCAATTCACTTTATGAATGATTTGATGATACACATAACAACGTTTTTCCGTTATCGACAGTCGAGAAAACAGAAACATTAGAAAGACAGCAATGTTATGCTAACACAAGCCTTATAATAATGATTTAGCATTTGTAATTTTGTGCTAATACAGTTGGTACAGAAAGTATTTAGACCTTAATTTTTTTCATTCTTTATTGCAGCCATTTGCTGAAGTTTTTTTCCTTATTGATGTATACACGGCATGCCCATATTGACAGAAAAACACAAAATTGTTGACATTTTTGCAGAATTATTAAAAAAGAAAAACTGAAATATCACGTTCTTAAGTATTCAGACCATTTGCCCTGTAAAAATAGCTGAAGCACCCTTTTGATCCAATATAGCCATGTGTCTTTTTGAAGAAAATTTCCACACCTGGATTTAGGGATTCTCTGCCATTCGTCCTTGCAGATCCTTTCCAGTTCTGTTAGGCTTTAGGGTAAACGTTGGTGGGCAGCCATTTAAGGTATCTCCAGCGATGGTCAGTTGGGTTTAAGTTAGGGCTCTGGTTAAGCCCTTCAACATCAGTCACGGAGTTGTAGTAAAGCCGCACCTTATTTTAGTTGTGTTCTTAGGGTCATTGTTGGGGTCATGTTGGAAGGTAAACCTTCAGCCAATCTGAGGTCCTGAGCACTCTGGAAAAGGTTTTCGCCCAGGTTAGCTCTGTACCTGGGCGCATTTATCTTTCCCTTGATTGCAACCAGTCGTCCTGTCCCTGCAGCTGAAAACACCCCACAGCATGATGCTGCCACCACCATGCTTCACTGTTAGGACTGCCTGGTTTCTCCACACATACTGCTTATAATTAAAAGTTCTATCTTGGAGTTATCAGGGCAGAGAACCTTATTTCTTACCAATTTAGCAAACTCCATGCTTTCATGTGTCTTGCACTGAGAGGTTATTGTTGAGCCACTAAAAGCCTATCACTGGTGGCGGGCTGCAGTGATGATTGACTTTCTAAAACTTTCTCCTATCTCCCAACTCCATCTTTGGAGCTCAGCCACAGTGATCTTTAGGTTCTTCACTTCTCTCACCAAGACTCTTCTACCCTAAAGTCAGTTTGGCCATACAGTAAGCTCTAGGAAGGGCTGTGGTCACCCCAAATGTCTTCTATTTAAGGATTATAAAGGCCACTGTGCTCTTGAGAACCTTAAGTGCAGTTGAATTTTTTTGTAACCTACCTTGGCCAGATCTGTGAGCCTAATATAGACAGATGTGTGACTAACCAACTCAAGTCCAATCAGTATAATCAAACACAGCTAGACTCAAATGAAGGTGTAGAACCCTCTCAAGGAGGATGAGAAGAAATGGACAGCACCTGAGCATATGAGTGTCACAGCAAAGGGTCTGAATACTAAGGACCATGCAATATATCAGTTTTTCTTTTTAAATAAATCTGTGTGGGGTGCGGTGTGTACATTAATGAGGAAAAAAAGAACATAAAAGATTTTAGCAAATGGCTGCAATAGAACAAAGAGTGAAAAATGTAAGGGGGTCTGAATACTTTTTGTACCCAGAGCCGACCCTCTCAATAAGCAAACTAATTAGCCGCGTTTCCACTTTCGCGTTTAAAGGGAGCGAGCCAGGGCCAGTCGCGTTTTCACTGTCACTTCCAGGGCCTGATCGGGCCAAAGCTGGGCTTTCTCGGGGCCAGCTGCTGGCCTTTTTCAGCCCGCAAAATACCTTGGGCCAAAGAGGGCCAGCTGGGGCTTCGGGGTGGAGTAAAAGGAGAGGCAGACTTTGCCCGAGTCTGGTAAAGATAGCATGCTGCCATTACACTAGTTTTCATATCGCACATTACTACATGTGCCAAACAAATAAATAAATATGGGTAAGAAAACATATAGCTGATCAGTTTAAGATTATTAGATAAGGTTATTCTATAAAACAGCTTATAGACTGGGGGTCTTTTTGCTTATGATCGCTCTTATATTTCCCTTTTAATGTAAGGCTGTTGCATAAAATAATAAAGTTTTAATTTATAAGTCACTTTTCTTTGCTGCGTTCTCCTTGATGTTTCAATAATGCATAATAACCTTTACATCTATTAAAGACACAGCAGCCAGTAAAGGTTGTCGAGAGTTGTTGTTAAGTTTAAAAGGTGTGTTTGTGTGTGATACATGCGTGTTAGATGCCTGTACTGTATGTGTGTGAGAGACCGCGAGCAGCTGTTTTCTTTATTCTTTATTTTGGAGATTATACAAAATATGAATACAACATAATCAAATAAAACTTTACAAACTACCTGTCCACTTTTGTGGGCTCAAAACAATAGTGTCATGTCTCGATAAAATAGCCTGAGCTATATTGAAAGAACTTTAAAAATGTATTTAAATTATCTTCATTGGCAGTGCTTTGGTACTTAAATATTTATATATGTTATACGCTAATATAAAAATCTAGTAGCACATTTATCAAAAATAGGCATATAATAAATGTCATCTAGTTATATAAATTTTTTTATTTCTTTCCCAGTTTAACAGACCCGATGTTTTCATACTTAATAGTCTTTTATATGTAAATTTCTATGTAAGAAACAGGGTAAGAGAGTGAAGGGAATACAGTTTGTGTTTGGGTATTAACATTAACCCATTATTTGTTGCTTCCCTTTTTCTTATATATGTATATAAATATATAAGAAATTTATAATTTTATATATATATTTATACATAAGAAATTATTATTATTTTTTTCAGATTTACTTTATAATATTTGCTTATTGATTTTATTATTCATGGATCAGTCTTTGCATTAATGTTAATTGTTTTGTTGTTGTTGTTATTTTTGAGCTCTGAACATATATTTTATTACTAAGTAATGCATATTCAGTTTTGACTAATTATTGTTCATTATTGTTATTATTGTTTCATTGCAGGGTTTTTGCTTTTGGAATTGATATTTTTTTTGAACTCAACCTAGAATCTTTTATAGATTCTTCAATCTGTTTGTTAAATTAACAGAATATTAACACTCCAGAAGGACGCACAGTAGGAATCACTGCACCCTTTATAAAAAGATTGTTTAATCTTTAATTTTTAAAGCTGTTAGTTGACAAAAAACAATGCTGTTTTAAAATGTCCAAATGATTCAGACTGTTGTTAAGTTGAAGAAATCAGGCTGTACTTTTCTGTTTCATTGATTGTATTTAATAAGCAATAAAATCATTGTGGGATGGTTTGCAATGGCTATATTCCACTATTTAGAGCAAGGGAGGGCCAAAATATATATATATATACTTTATGACATTTTTAATTTACAAAATAAGAGAAAAGATTAATCCATTTTTAAATCAAATACCACACTCTAAAAAAGCTGGGTTGTTGTAACCTATCATTGGGTCAAATATGGACAAACCCACCAGTTGTGTTTAGAGTGCATGTTAAGAGTGAGTTTAGAGAGAACATACAATGGAAAAAAAGATTATTCATATAAAAATGACTAAAACAGGAAAATATTGAAAGAAGAGTAAAACAATACTCCTAAAACAGCAGTATTAAAACATTAAATTGTCAAAAAATCTAAAAACACAGCTTTTTGCAAGTGAACATAATAGAATATAGAATATTAGAACATAACAAAGTATTATAAAGAAACAGTCTGAACTTTACTGACTGGTCATGGACTTTGGAAACATAAGTGTGAGGAATGAAACACTCATTGCCAGTTGATGTGGAGCAAACCCTCAACATGTCATCATCTCTGCAACAGAAACAAACTCATTATGATTCAATTTAACAAAGACATACGTACTTGGCCTTCTACTGATATAAAATGTTCATGTTGCAAATAATTGTTGAATCTTTTATCACTAATAAATAGGGCATTATCAGGATATTGACCTAAGCTGAAAAAAAAAGGTTACTTTAACAGTTATAATACTGAAAAGAATGCCTGTTGTGTAGTTTTATTGTATAAACATAATTAGAAAAAATACAAGTTTTAAACAAATAAAATTACAAAAAGATGATAAAGTACAATATGTAAACCTTTACATTAAAGTCTCATAAGTAAATATTAGTTAAGTAATTAAAATAAACAGTTTGAAAAAGGTCATATTTTAGTTATGTTAAAGTTAATTTAAAAAATACATCTGACGTTTATAAGTTATTAACTCCATTTAATGAAATGATTGATATTTTTATTGCTATTAGACATTACTTAAGACATTTACACAACATAAGATTATTAAATACTTTTGTAATTGTCACTGCGTTGAATTAAGTTCAATTAACTAATCTTACTGAATCTTACTGTACTTAGTTAACGAACAAAAGGTCTATAAATAGTGAGAGAATTTTCAATATTGCAAACCAGATTAACGTGAAAATTAGTTGAACATTTATTTTTAAGGTTTGAAAATAATTGGTCTATTAAACCTGTAAAAACAACAATCTGAATATTCTTTAATAATAAATAAATATACAGAGTATTTTGAAGTGCCCACAATATTAAAATTATCCACATTCACTATCTCGATTCACAATGTACAGTTTCATGCAGAAGTTTGGCCACATCTGATCATTTTCATAATTGCAAGCTATAGCCTGCTGGCCTTTCACATCAGCAAATTCATTTATATATTTTATACTGTAGAAAAAAAGCACCATTTCAGTTCTGACATAACGTTTATTTAATCAACAGATTCAATGCAATTTGAGTCCTAACAAAAACAGGCAGATGCAAAAATTTGGGCACCCTAACAGAATATTGACATCGATCTTTTGCACAGCGGCTTTTTGCTAAAATAACAGCCTGTAGATGCATTTTATAGCAAAGAATAAGTCCCTGAATTCTTTTTGAAGGCATTTTGGACCATTCTTCCTTGCAAAAGTCCTCCAGTTTAGTCAGGTTTGATGGGTGCCAAGTGCAAACGGACCTTTTCAAATCAATCCAGTCTGAGAACTGGGATGGCCATTCTAGAACATTGTATCATCTCTGACCATGATTTTTTGGTAGATCTGGAGCTGTGCTTTGGGTCATTGTCCTGCTGGAACATCCAACCCTGCTGTAACTTCCACCTTTTTAATGATTTCTGAATATTGTTCTTCAGAATCTGCTAATAATGGGTGGAATCCATGTTACCTTTAACTCAGACAAGGTTTCCAGTACCTGTGCTTAACACACATCTGCACAGCATGATGGACCCTCCACCATATTTTACAGTAGAGAGCAGGTTCTTCTCCTGGAGTGCTTTCTTCTTTTTCCACCATGCAGAGCACATATGATTGTGGAATCTGTCCACAATAATTTTTTCCAAAATGATTAAGGCTTGTCTAGATGAGTCTTTGCATACCTCTAATGACTCTTGTTGTTGGCAGAATGCAGAAAAGGCTTCTTCTGCTTCACCTTCCCTTGAGCTGTTCTTTGTAAAGAGTGACCTGAACTGTGGAATGATATACAATGACATTTTAAGCAGCAAGATGTTACTGGAGCTCTTTGGAGATGGTCTGTGGTTTGTCTGTGACCATTCTAACTATTCTTCACCTTTGCCTTTCAGATTTTTTTCTTGGTCTAGCATGTCTTTCCTTCACAGGTTCCTGTGGCCTTCCATTTTCTTACTATACTTCCGACTGTGGAGATTTAAACCTTTGTGATAGCTTACTGTATTATTCTCCTAATTTATGTTGATGAATTATCTTAGTTTTTAGGTCATTAGGAAGTTTTCTTTTTCAGGTTCACAATAAGGAGAAGCACAACTAGCAATCAGCCATCTTAAATATCATTTTTTATGATTGTTGTTGTCGCACCTGTGTTAGGATTGTTAAGATTCACTCAAATCAATTTTGTGTTGTAATCAATCAGCATTAAGTGACTGCAAGTTTTGAAATCCACACAAAAGAGAGGGTGCCCAAACTTTTGCATAGCCTATTTTTAGGTTACATTTAATTTCACATATCTCAATGCAGTTACACTACGGATTTCTGCCTGGAAAGCATGACATTATCTAGCTTTCTTTAGAAACTGAATGGTATTTCACTGTAATCTAATCTTATAGAGAAAGAGCGCATTATTATGCAGCCACAGAGGGGTGCCCAAATCTTTGCATAAGACTGTATTAGATTATTAAATATCAGGATATGTCAAAACATACTCTTACTCTGATATAATGTTCAGCTTGTCTCCTAAACATATGGTATGTTCATCAGACCTGAAGGATGGAAAGTTGCACAAGGCCACTGCCGTGTGACTTCCTGAAGCTGAATTAAACAAGACTCACATGAGGGATAAATATATACAAGCAACGATGTGTTATTTATTTGTATATAAGTGTATAATTACAAGTGTATAATCATTCTCAAACCTCCATCAGGCAACAAGACAGTTTCCTCCAGTCTGTGAACATCAGATCGAGGCCAGAATCTGCTTATTAGACAGCCCATGCTTATTTTATCACCATGTCTGATGGATTTATTCAAAGACCCCACAACCTGAAAACACAACTGAAGAAACAGCACTCCATTTACCAGTTCAATTTCACATCAGGGCTAAACAATTATCATTTTAGCATCGATATTACAATGTGTGTGTTGGTAATGGGTCACATCACAGGATGTGCAATGTTGAGTTTTTAGTTGATCAGCACAACAGTTGAGCATACATGAGATTTGTGGAGTCTGTGTAAAGTAAACCAATAACAGAGTTTGCATGTGTTTTAAAGGCATTTCAAGAGAGTGTAAAGCATTCATACTCCTACATTCATACTACATTTGTAACTTTAATAAAGAATCATATTACTGAATCATTAATACTATAAAGTGTTATTTAACACTTTATACTTACTACATTATTCAATTTCTGTACTTGATGACTGTTTGACTATAGGGAAAACCATAAAGCATGTTTTATTTGTTATGTATTATTATTATTATTTTTTTTTACTTTTTTCGTTGCTCTATTGCAGGGATGCCCAATTTAGGGGCCCACAGTGACCTTTGATTTGGCCCACCATCCCATCTGAGAACAGGAAGAATGATATACATGATTTAGAAGATGTCTTTTTAAATCTAATATAACCTTTTTGTTTGTTTGTTTTATTGTTAAAAACTAACTGAAATAAAAAGTTTCAATTAAATGGTGTAAATTAATTATATTTAGCTTAAATGTGCATACTGTCACCTGACAGAGGACCAATTCAAATGTTCTTTGTTCATGATATTATTGCAAGAAGTTATCATTTTAACTGGTATACTGCATTAACTAATACAATTTAAAGTAATGTTTTCTGTTTACTATTAAATCTTATTTAATAGTTAAGGAAACAAAACATGGCAACCTTAATGTAATTTAGCTTGGCATACATTTACTTTGACTCATGGCTCTCAAATGTTATTTGGTTTTTCGCCTTTTATATGAAAAAGTTTGGCCAGCCCTGCTCTATGGTAATCATTTTAGCTTGTTTTATTTGTTTATTATTTTTATACATGATTCACACTCTTACAAAATCAACCCAATCAATCTAAATGTGATTTTCTTTCCCTAATATTCTGGTGGATCTGTATTCACATTGCAGAAAAACAAAATATCGCAATATATTAATGCAAATTTTTCATATTAGCCATTCATTGGAAACTGAAATCCGATGTATCCAAAAATCCTTCAGCAATTCTGTAAAAACTGCACTACCAAAATTACAATTAAATGAATGCATGGATGACAGATACCCCACTTTCAGAATCTTGGCTTAAAGCTAATCTGCTGGTAAACTAAGTAAACTAAATTGCATTCATGTGCTGTCACAAACAAAAATGTCAGTTCCATAGAAAAGTTTCAAGATACTAATTTCTAAGTCATTTTTATAAAAGCTGCTTAAATATATATTTCACACAAAACTGAAAACTCTGCCATAACCTAAAATTCCTTTACTTGTTTTCCACTCGACAAATAACTTTGAGTTGTCTTTCTGTCCGTCTGTCTATCAATCAATGTATTGTAATAATAGGTATACTGAAAAAGCAATATCTTCTTTAGTGTTCAACAGAATAAAGAAACTCTTTAAGGTTTGAAACCATTTGAGCGAGAGTAAACCATGAGTATATTTAAAATTTTGGGTGAACTATCCCTTTCATTACCTAATTTAATCTCTGCCATCACTTAAAATTACTCGTTTCAAACTTAAGAGTTTTGAGTTGTGTTTCTGTCTGTCTATCAATCAATGTATCGATCTAGGGGTCAGTTTCACAAACAGGGTTTAACTTAAGCTAGGACTAGGCCTTAATTAAATTACAGTAGGTAATTAAAGGGATAGTTCACCCAAAAATTTAAAACAACCCTCTGTTTACTCTCCCTCAAGTGGTTTAAACCTTTAAGAGACTCTTCATTCTGATTAAAACAAAGAATACCCATCCACCTATTATGGAAGTAAATGGTCACAGGTTTTCAGCTTTCTTCAAAATATCTATTTTTAGGGTTCAACAGAAACTCTTAAAGGGCCATGACACCCCCCACTTTCGGTTAAAGTCTACTTCAGAATTTTTTCAAAAGATGCATAATTAATGGGCGTGGAGCTCCGTGAGCATCGGGCAGGAGTGGGCGTGGCCAGCAGGGGAGAACATGAGCGAAAAACTGTTGTTGTCGTCAGTTAGCTCACAAAATGAGACAAACCGTGAGGAGGAACAGTGATGTGTCTGAATGTGAACGAACTCCCGATAAAAGACAGCGTCCGCCATTTTCTAATTCTCGTGCTGCTCTCCCGACAAAAATGCTAGCAGCACACACACAGCTTTGCTGTATGATCGCGGGGGAAAACATGCAACAAACCCCGTGGATCATGGAAACAAAAGCATATGAGCCTTCATGAACGGCTAAATGCTGTGGCGTGTCTCACAGCTCGGGCTTCTGGCAGGTCTGGCAGGTCTCATGAATAATTTAGCAGCCGGCTCTTCTCATAGAATAAGGAAACTCCGCTTTGAATAATAATGAGAAACCGACGCGTCATCATTGCACTTGCAGTACTGCGCTGCGTCGCAGATTTTTATCCCGCCCCAAAAATCATTTTAAACCCGGAAGCTGAAATTAGCTGACAAAAGCTCAAAATTATCCAGTTTTCCCCACAATTAAAGCTGACAGGTGCTAACATTGTCTTAACTGATGCTCAACACACACACATCTGTTAATATTAATAAAAAAGTTCTCCAGTGTGTCCTGAACCTTTAAAGGTTTGGAACTATTTGAGTGAGAGTAAACCATGAGTAAATTTTAATTTTTGGGTGAACTATCCCTTGCATTACCTAATTTAATCTCTGTTATCACTTACAATTCCTTCACTTGTTCCAAACTTTGAGTTTTTGAGTTGTCTTTCTGTCTGTTCATCAATCAATTTATCTATCTATGTATCAATCTATGGGTCAGTTTCACAAACAGAGCTTAACCTAAGCTAGGACTAGGCCTTGATTAAATTACAGTAGGTAATGAAAGGGATAGTTCACCCAAAAATGTCAGTTAACTCACTGTTCACTCTCCCTCAAGTGGTTTCAAACATTAAATCGTTTCTTTATTCTGTTTAACACAAAGAATACCCATTCACCTACTGTGGAAGTCGATGGTTACAGTTTTTCTTTTTTTTTTCAAAATATCTATTTTTAGTGTTCAACAAAATAAAGAAACTCTTAAAGGTTTGAAACCATTTGAGTGAGAGTAAACCTTGAGTAAATTTTCAGTTTTGGGTAAATTATGCCTTTCATTACCTAATTTAATCTCTGCCATCACTTACAATTCCTTTACTTGTTCTAAACTTTGTGTTTTTGAGTTGTCTATCTGTCTGTCTATCAATCAATGTATCGATCTATGGGTCAGTTTCACAAACAGAGCTTAACTTAAGTTAGAACAAGGCTTTGATTAAATAACAGTAGGTAATGAAAGGGATAGTTCACCCAAAAATGCCAATTTACTCACTCTTTACTCTCTTTTAAGCGGTTTCAAACCTTTAAGAGTTTCTTTATTCTGTTGAACACAAAGAATACTCATCCACCTATTATGTAAGTCAGTGGTTACAGGTTTTCAGCTTTCTTCAAAATATCTTCTTTAGTGTTCAACAGAATAAAGAAACTCTTAAAGGTTTGAAACCATTTGAGTGAGAGTAAACCATGGGTAAATTTAAATTTTTTGGTGAACTATCCCTTTCATTACCTGATTTAATCGAGGCCTAGTCCTGGCTTAAGCCCCATTTGTTAAACTGACCTATAGAGCAATACATCATACAGATAGACAGATATACAATCAGATAGACACCCATTTAAAATCCATTTTTTCAGGAGTTTAAAAGATATTAGATTTATTGCAGGTCTTAAAATGTAAAGTACATCATACCAAAAACAATCCGTCACTGCTTATCAAATGCCTGAACTGATCATCAGCAGAAGTTTTAGCATTTTGTTAGTCTGGCGTCTGGTGTGTGAACACTATGACCGTCCCACAGCTAAAACCTAGCCCAAATTGGGTCATGTAACAAGACAATTATCTCAAGCAAACCAGTACATACAACAGACTACAACAGAACCAATGAAAAGAAAAAAATGGATGTTTCAACAATAGTCATGGTGACAGAAATGCTGACAGAAAAACTCCAAAACACCTCCAGAATGATCTGAGAGACTGATAAAAGTCATACAGAAAATGCTGACTTTAATTAATGATAAAAGTCGACCTACAGTCATCTGAATCTTATGTTTGTCACCAATGGCTTTTTTCTCTTGGCTATTTTTGTTCAATAAATTATGTGTGAGAGGTCATTGTTCATCTGAGGGTTTATCTCATGAATTTTAAGCCCTGCCAAAGACCATATTGTTTTTTTAAATGATTTCCTGATGCAAAAAAACATTAGGTTCATTAGGCTGTGCTAACTTCTTCACATGATTGCACAGACTATACAAATAGTTGCATAGAAAGATAGAAAGACAGTCAGGTAGATGATAGACAGATGACAAAAAGGTAGATGGAGATAGAATGGCAGACACACAGACTGATAATCCACAAAGTCATTAAGAAAGATAAACTGAAAGTCAGACGATTGACGGATGACAAACATGCAGATGGAGATACAATGGAAGAGAGACAGAATCAAAGTCAGAGTCAGATGATAATCTCTTAAACGTTTAACCAGACTAAAGCACATTAGAGTACTTACTGTGTTCTGGCAAAATCTTCTCAAACAATATCCACTAGCGGGATCCCATCTCTAGATGAGTGTTGATGTGATCTTCGTGCTCTGTTGCTCGTGTGAAGCACCTCGTGTTTTCACGAGTAGGAGTTGTGGTTAACAAAGCGATATGCAAATGAGATTTCCTGTGCCAAAAGACCTCAGACGCTACCAATCAATGATCAAAACTATAATCAGAACTACATATGAATGACTTAAAGACTGCACATGTATGTGAAAGTTGCCTAAATGCAATATAAATGCACAAAGGAAATGTAGCAAGATGAATTCAAGCTGATCATTTCCTTAGCACCATTTAATATTAGCAGGATAAATATAGTTTAACCACAACGATGAGGGTAAGGGTTGCTCAACAGAAAGTACATATGTGGTCGGAAACTTCTCAATCTCAATGATCTTCCGGCTCTTATGCCGTTGATAAACTGTTTTTTAAGAGATAAGGTTTATTAAAAAGACAAGATGCACCAACTGTGTGTTTTTTCCATGATATAACTTTATTTATTAACTGAGAACCAGTGGACAGTGACACTATTTCATGTCCATGAAAGCTGTCATTCCATGTGTACATTGATTTATGCTCCGATTAGGAATAATAATGATGTTAAAAAATGGTAAGGGGGTAAACGTACAAAAGAAAGATGCTACGTTCGATTTGCATATTTAAAAATATTAAAAGTACAAATTAAACTGAAAATAAAGACCACCCCGAGTGTTTATCTCCTAATAGCTGATGTGTTTAGTAGTATCCTGTTAAGAGTTCTTAATATAAATACAACAAAAGTTAGCTCTTAAATATTAATTACATTCATAAGATAAACAGGGGAGTGACTTGAAAGACGGTTATTAAACAAGACAAAAAAAAGAAACAATATAACACCATGAAGCAAGTTAAGCAGACAGGAAAGGTCACAGGTCACAGCGTAAAACATAAAAGCTATTTCTTTAATGCGTGTGTTTTCCTTTAAGTGAGTTTCACTGTAATAATTGAAAACAAAGTGAATCAAATGCATCTCAAACCAGTTGGAAGACCCTCACTGTTATTTATATATTAATCTTTCATTTGATCCGTTTTAATGACTGAAAATGTGGCTAGCGTGTAGTAACATCTTTATATATATATATTCACTATGCATACCTTCAGTATATCACACATGTCTGCCTCTCTATTCATACAGCAGTAGCAGGAGGACATTTGAGCTTTAGCAGGACACCTCCATGGTTTGTGGTCCAGAATTGGGCCCGTCCAGTGGGCTGTTGAGGTTGCGGTTGCGGGATCCGTCTGTGGAGGTGATGCTGGAGGATGAGGAACGGGATCTGGACAGACGGGTCATGCCGGCTGCAGGTACTGTGGGTCGTAAAAGAGATTTTGTGTTTATTTTTGTTTTTGGTAGCTTCAGGGGGATAAAAATACAAGCATCATGCAAGAGGAAACCAAACTGAGAATGTAATAACAGATGATCACAGGTTTGTCTTGTGTCGTCTGCCTACACGCTGGTATAAATGTGAACATGAAAGCATTGCTGATGAAAGCAAATTACTTGCTGAGCACAGACGCATACAAGGCAAAGTGAAAACAACTCATGCTTTCTGAAAACCTACAAAAAGCTGCTAAATGATTGAAAAAAAAAAAAAATATATATATATATATATAAATATATATATATATATATAAATATATATATTTATATATCTATACACACACACACACGCGCACACAATTTTCAAATCTTTTTAACATAAAAATATAGACAAATCATAACAGAAGTAGAATAAAGAACACATGAAAAAGAAAAAACAGCATAAATAAATAAGTACTTTAGAACAGGGGTTCCCAAACGTTTCAGTCCACAACCTCCAATATCCTCTGAGGTGGTTATAAATACAGTTAAATATAGCTTGCATGCAACGGCGCGCACACACACCAATAGGCCCAAGACAATTCTTCATTTAATTTTTTAATGTATTTGAGTGCTGTAAATGTGCCAGAAAGTTTAACCTGGTGGTATAATACCAATCTGCTGCATTAGACACTATTGCTGTATCTTTAATATAATGTGATCACCACAGGGGTGACAATCCAATAGAACTAGTAACTATGAGCTACTATAGTAAATATGTAGTATATAGTAGCTATAAACTACTATTTTTATCTTCAGTAGGTTATGAATAAAACATGGTTATTCTAATTAGTTAAAAGTTATTGAAATCGACATTCAGAACCTATAATCGATTTAATTTTTCCAGGTCAATTTTTTTAATTACTTTCCCTACTGTGTGTAGTCATATGACCCCGCTCTGTTAAGGCTGATTTATACGTCTGCGTCGAACGCATGTGCCCCTTTCGAAAAAAATTACTACACATCGCATGTTTGGATTACATTGATGATGATTGGAAGCTGCGCCAGATGCCTTGATATGGCATATTTTCTATTAAAATAAAATTATTTACATTGAAAATTATATTTTCTACTTTTGAAAACATTGAACATATTAGTTTTGTTATAAAATTAGTTTTCACTTTTTATAAGAAAAAAAGTGACTTGGATTTAGGCAATGTGTGTTTTAATTTCAGTTGTTCAGCATTGATGTTCAATAAATAATCATAAATAGCAGATAGTCTGTGTTTACTTCAATTATTTTAAAATAAAGTAATACACCCTTCATTCAAAAATCTCTTATAATATTTGAACATTTTTACTGTACAAAACCTGTCAGTGAACTGTGAGGGCAAAAAATAAATAAATAAATAAATAAATAAAATAATCATTCATTAATCATAATCGATTTAAAATGTTCAATTAATGTAGATTTTAGACCAAATTACACAGCCCAATTTCTAATGGTTTAATAAAATGAATTAGATTTTTGGAAATCACCAAGCAAGACCCTTTCATTGTCTCACAACCCCTCGGGGGGTCCCGACTCTTACTTTGGGAACCACTGCTTTAGAACAGACTTCAACAAATAAAACCTAAATTGAAAATAAAGTAAATAAAAACATAATTTGTATTGGCAACACTTTAGAATAACAGTTCATTAGTTAAAGTTAGTAGATGTATTTACTAATATTAAGTATGAAAAATCTTGTAAAGCATTAATTAATCATAGATCAACATTTACTAATGCGTTATTAAAATCTAAAATTGAGTTTGTTGACAAGTTAATGCACCGCAAGTTAACATGAACTATACTATTTAACTTAAATAATGTTAAATAACATCAACAATGATATAATAAATGTATTGTTCATGTTAGTAAATACATTAACTAAAACTAACTAATGGATCAATACTTTCAAGTGTTAACTTTAAATTAGTTTTTTTTTTTTAGAAAAAAGCCACAGAGAGGAATTTCTGCAAAAAAGATGTACCAAACAAAACAAAAACATACATAAAAACCAATAAATGTGCAATGAAGAAAGCATAAAAAATAATTAAACAAATAAAAAAGAAATAAATATCTACATTAAGAATATATCAAAACTAAAAACATTAATATAAATATGCAGACATTTTTTAAAAATCCATTAAAAAAACACATCGGTCAACCACACATAAAAAAGTCAAATATCACCATGCGAATACTGTAAACCAACACAGAAGAGAAGCATGCATATATAGAGCGTTCACAATAATTGCTGGTTCACATCCAAATACCTGATTCACAGCTCAGATGACTGAGCAAAACATGAGGGACTGTTGGCAAACGTTGACGGGAAACAAACAGACAGAACAATAAGACATCTATTAAATACAGTAACATTTTTAACATAGTTCTGTTAAGGCTCTAATTACAGTAAGCGGCAATTGTTTTTTAAAATTGAATTTCCTCTGTAAATCCTGCAGGTGTTTTAATGGCCTCTGCGGGCTCTTAAATCTCAAAAGCTTTTTTTCTGCAGTGACATTTTTAGCAGCTGAACCTCAAACTGCATTTAGAGTTCTTCACCCACAGAGGGCATCAAGATGACAAAACATGCCTTTAGAAATCATTATGTTTATAAGAAAGCCTGTTTCCACTATGGAAAGTATAGTAACAAATTACAAATACTCAAACTACTGTAATTGAGTAGTTTTTTTCAGGAATTGTAATTTCCTAAGTCGTTTTAAAAATGTGTACTTTTACTTTCCCTTGGGTGCATTTTAAGTGCAGTATCTGTACTTATACTCCACTACTTTCCTTCAACCTGCAGTCCCTACTTCATTTTTTCTTGTCTATGGGAATTACCAAAATCAGTCCTGTAATTCCTGTCCAATCAAATTGCACATAGAAAGTAAATCGCATCATTATGAACTACCTTAAGACATGGGCGATTTATAATCGCAGCAAACTGTTTGGAAGAATTACAAGTGTCCAAGAAGTTGTCCAAAATCTTTACACGCATTGACCCAGAGACTGTTTAGATGCAAGTCACCGATGAGAAGAAGATGGATGTTTATTGTACGATGACTGAAATGGCCTTAAATACCCAGCAGGCACAGGACGTCACCATGACGTCAGATTGACGTTGTACCCCAACGTTGTGAGGACATTGCATTTTGTTTGCTAATGAATATCGGGTTGACATCAGAACTCAATGTCAGGCTGATGTCAATGTGTAACATCCAACTTAAAATCAACCAAATTTTTGGTTGCCATACCTGATGAATAAATAGTATTCAGTATTTGACATCAATATGATGTTGGTTTAAGATGTTAGCTCAACGTTTGATTTAAATCAAACAAAACTCAACAAAATATCACAACCTAAATCTAACCTAATATTAACGTATTATAACGTTGTGTGCCTGCTGGACAATCACTAAACACACTAAAGAAATGATACGTTTCCACACATCCACAAATTACATGGAAATGCATAAGCTTTTTACAGCGTAATACTCACTGCTCTTGAGTACTTTTTGAAAGGTCTAATTTTTACTCTTACTTTGAGTAATATTTACAACAGATACTTTTACTCTACTTGCACTATATATATATATATATATATATATATATATATATATTTATTTATTTATTTATATACAGTTGAAGTCAAACTGATGAGCCCTCTTGTGAATCTTTTTGTTCTTTTTTCAAAATATTTCTCAAATGTTGTTTAACAGATCAAGGAATTTTTCACAGTATTTCCTATAGTATTTTTTCTTCTGGAGAAAATCTTATTTGTTTCGTGTTTTGGCTAGAATGAAATCAGTTTTGAAACCATTTTAAGGTCAATATTATTAGCCCACTTAAGCAATAGTTTTTTAATAGTCTACAAAACAAAATATTTTTATACAATGACTTGCCTTATTACCCCAAGTTGCCTAAATAACCTTATTAACCTAGTTAGGCCTTTAAATTGCATTTTAGGCTGAATACTAGTATCTTGAAAAATATCTAGTCAAATATTATGTACTGTCATCACGGCAAAGATACAATAAATCAGTTATTAGAAATGAGTTATTATATATAATTATTATTAGGCCTTATTCTCATAATCATGCATTTTTCTTTAAATTTGGACTTTTTGTACCTGCTGTGGTTAAAAAGATGTAAGAGAAATAAAAGAACTATACAAATTATACAGGTTATTCTGTTACCAGTAGATACAGGTTATTCTGTTACCAGTAGTGCTAAAAAAAGGAAATAAAATAATGAATTATGATTTAATATTGCACTGTTCTGTTCTTTTTTCATAAATCTTATAATCTTTTTGAACTAGTTTGAAATATCACAGTATGTTTTGATAGCACAATCTCAAGATAAGAATGACCAAAATTAGACTCCTCCTGATGTGACCCGGTTAAAAACTCTCCAGAGCTTTTGATGGCTTAATTGAAAAGTCTGGGATGAAAGTTGCAAAGCCTTGTGCTCACATGGCAAGACACTGCAAGTGAACAGAGTAAAAAATGAACTAATATTTTTCACAGTGATTGATTTCATTAAGAATTGCACACTTTTTTGTAACGTGGAACTTTTTTTGATGTGGAAATATCCAATTGAGACATTATTTAAACATGCGCTCATTTTTCATATATATTTTAGCACAAAAATCTGAACAGTGGATTAACTTTGAATCACATTTTTTGACATATTATAGTGAAAGATTTTTACAAAAGGAGAACAATTATTTTCACAATTTTTTGCGTAATATAATGTTTAAATCTGTCTTTGATAGTCTAAGAATCTACATAGGAATTAAAATGTAAAGTTTGGCTAATGTAAGTGGTGTTGAAGTGGAGATTTATGACTCTAAAGAAAAAAAGTATGTTAGAAAAGAAGCTAATATCTAAAAATAATATTGTGATTAAAATCTATAGACACAAACTGGTAAGAGTGACACTTATAAAAGGTTTTTTAACACTTCTTTAGGCTGGAAATCTTCATGTAAAGCCCAATTGTCAGACACAAAACAATGTTTTTGCCTGCAGCGCCTCGCCTTAAAAGCTTGGTTTGCCACCAGACGTGACGTAAATTCCTGCGAGATTGCAACAAGAACTCTAACACTGCACAGAAATGAAACAGCAAGTCTCTCTGGAGGAGGAGGAGGAGGTACGAGGTCAGAGAAAGGGTGACATCTTTTCACACTGAGCGCTGGCAGCACACCGAGCGCCAAAACCTGTCAACAAATATGTGAGGAGGCCTCATTCAGAGCACATCGTGATTTTGCGCACGTCTGCCGCTTGGAAGAAAAAACTAATCAACATGGAGCGAGTGGGAAGCGATGCTGAGCTGTGTGTGGTAAAAAAAAACAACAAGAAATAAAAACAGTCTCCCCGAGCCGGATTTGTCTTGATAAAAGATGGCCATTAGTCATAGTGTTGTGCTGAATTGCTAATTAGCGTCGCCTAGCGTCTGAGAAATGCGGGTAAACAGATGCGTGTTTACGGAGTAAGTTGACCCAGATTGCTCGGCAGATTAAACAAACATCTGAAGGCAGATTCATAGGTTAGGGAAAGTCAAGAGCTGAGGTAAACAGATAATAAAAATACTCACTGTAGCCCATTCCTTGTACAAAGTATTTGAAGGCTTCGGCCAGCTTTCCAGGCTGTTGGGAGAAAAGAGGATGTTCATGTATTCAAATTATAGCAGGCATTCACAATGGTGAAGATAAGAGCAGGACGCAGGTGGTTAATGTGGTTTTCAAGGTTACAAAATGGAGATAATACTAACCTGAACAACCTGAGGCAGACCTCCACAATCAGCCATCTGACACACACAAACAGGGAGAGAGAGAGAGATGAGTAAAATAAGACAGAGATAAAAAAAAAATCACTGTGAAGAACAGATCAAAATATAACACTGCAGGCCAAACAATGAAGCTTTTTTGTAACACTTTACTTAAAGGGTCATTTTAAATGCAAAGATGAGACTGTTTGAGGTGTCTTTTTCATGACAACTTGACTTTATCAAGACAACATAACTTGTCATAAAACTGTCATAAACATGACTATCATGAGGCCAATATAATTGTGTCATTCATTTTATTACAGCTACAGCATCATTAATATTTTGCTTGACCTCAACTACAGTGGTGCAAACTGAAATTGTCATTAAAATAATCATTAAATATAAAAGACACTTTTATAAAGTTATTTAGCAGTGTCTTGACACTTTTACTAAAACATTTTAATGGCAAATACACTGAAAAATGTGAACAGGAAAAACTTGATGCTTTTATAATGAATTATAATGGCCTCATGACAATCATGTTTATGGCAGATTTATGAGAGGTTATGTTGTCTTGATAATATCAAGTTGTCATGACAAAGACACGCAGACTATGATGAATTTGTTTATGTCAAGTTGTCGTAACAAAGACATCTCAAGCAATGTCATCTTTGCATTTAAAATATTCCAAACACTCCATATTCATGTCATACAGTATGTCATGATTATAAAGTTGTCAAGTCAGTGCCTCATGTCAGTCTTATAAATTCCCTCTTCAAGTAAAGCTTTACCGTGTATTTTATAATTTCAGTCTAATGGAAAGAAACATCAAAAACACACTTTAAAGTGTTTCTTTTGTCACACTTTATCAATTTGGCTCCATTTGCACTGCAGATCTTGATGGTCAATTCCGATTTTGTGACTGTATCCGATTTTTTTTGACGACCTGCTTATATCAAATTTTAAAAGTGACTCGTATCCGATTGTCTGCATTTACACTGTACACGGCAAAGGCGAAATGAACAGGAAAAAAAGACTGGGCGCTGACTAACAGCTGATAATTAAAGAGTCCTCTTTTCTCTATTGCTGTATGTAATCTATTCACAGCTTTTGACAAGCTGTTTTACGATAGTTTATGACAGAATGGTTCTCATTTGTCCATCTTCTTTTGATATATAGGCTTTTTTAAACCTTTAGGCATCTTAATGTAATGTCCATGTCGTGATTTATGCATTAGCTTTATATTAGTCTATAATATATTGGTTACATGGCAGAAATTGCGGTCTCTAGTTCTCGTTAACATGCTTAAATACCTGTGCTATATGACAATATAAAAGCTGTATAAGTCCTCGTATATGAGATTTAAGTTGGGACTCTGCTGAAGTCTGTTCTGACTTGACACTATTCGCTATAGTTTTTAATGACGCGCGACTCTCATTGACAGATAAAAATCTGATCTACCGGCTTCCACTTCAGACACGAGAACACAGATCCAATGTATATCGGATAAATTTCCACTTATGAACAAGGCCTAAATCTGATTTGAGTAAATCGGAATATATGTGATTTGTTCTTGCTTACACGTACATAGGCCATATCCGATCTGTGCCACATGGGAGAAAACAAATCGGAATTGAGTCACTTGAACAGTGCAGTGTAAATGCAGACTTTGTGTCTGTAGATTTCAGTTACAAAGCATATTTTTAAAGGAATTTTGTTTTCTCAAAATGAGATTTTTCTCCAGCACTGAGCCATGAATCTCCACTTCAGCTGCACGTACATACACCAAACTGCACATGATTTATTCATGTCTGTATTCTGGAGGCTTTTTTGCAGAAAGTAGTTTCCAAATTAATTTTGTTTGTTTGCAAAACAGATTGACAAAATCCCCACAGTAATTTTTTTCTCCAATATGAAAAATTAAATGAAACAACACTTTTCTAATGTTCAAAATTTCTTGCTAGAATTATATGCAAATTGGTGCATATTCAATTAAATAAAGACTTATTTGAATATTTAAACATAACAGACAAGAAAACTTGTGATGAAAAAACATTCTGAAGTATGGTGATAAATATTAGTTATTTTCTTCCTGCAGTGTCCTGTCTTAAGTGCTGACGTTTTAGAGTTTTAAATAGTTGTGTGGCTTACCTTGAGCAAGGTGGTCTTTGTCGGATTTAACCTTGAGTTGCATTCAACCTGTAGTGCAAAATTATTCAAGAGGTTTAAAATATTCAAGGATTCAACAACAACAACAACAACAACAAAAACTGCAGCAAAATGACCTTGTACTTCCAAACTTACCACAGCCTCCACCGCAGGGGAAGTGTCTCCAACCACCAGAAGTGCAGGGCATCTGCACAAAGATCAACAGCCAGTGGTGAAAAACAATCAACTAATAAATAAATAAATAATGTTTATTAAATCTATTATTTATTCATAAATAAATATTTTAAATAATTTATTAAATCTTGAACTAAATAAAATTAAAATGATTTATTAATTTAGTAAATAAAAAAATAAAATAAAATAAAATAAGCTCTGGTAAAACAATAAAGAAAAAAAAGAAAAGAAAATATGCTCTGTTATAAACAATACAGAAAAATAAATGAATGAATAAAATATAATAAAATAAAACAAAAATAAAATAAGCTCTGGTAAAACAATACAGAAAAAATAAAATGAAATAAGCCCTGGTAAAACAAAACAAAACAAAAACAAAACAAAAAAACTCTAGTAAAAATAGTGGTAAAACATTAAACAAATCAAATCAAAATAAATACTTACGTCAGTGTCTTCACTATGTTCTCATTAAGACCAGCAATAGGCCTCTCGATTCCGAGGTCTTGACGCCTGTTCAAAACAAACACACAATTTACACGTCTGCTCCCAAAAGTGATAACAAATGCACACACTCAATTATTATTTTTTTTGCTTGTTCAAATTACTTATTTAAAAGGAGCTAAAACAACACAATTCTTAAGATTTTATTTAGACTTAATTTTTTTTAATTACATAAATTTGTTAAAAATTAACCTAATCATTTTGTGTGTTGGGACAAACATGAATGAATTGTGTGGAACCCTGCATTTTTTTCAATGCATGATAAATTTAACGTAACATCACTTACGCGTTGTATGAGCCGCAGAAGAGGGCCAGGTTGTCCTGGTTGATGTCCTGTGCGATGTGCAGGCGGTACGTCTGGATCAGCTCCTGGTTGTCAGTCAGTTCCTCCTAAATGACCACAATAACAAAAAAGCTGGCTCAAAAAAAAACATCATGGGATTGATTGTTGAGCCATTATAGAGATTTACTCACAGTGCTGAAGTGATGCGCCATCACAATGTCCACAAGATTGCTAGTCCATCCAGTCAGCTAGAGAAAATAAAATAAAAATAATAATAATATGTAGAGTTGAATTTGAAAATTATTAGCCCCCCTTTGATTTTTTCTTTCTTTTTTTTTTTTTTTAATATTTCCTCAATTACGTTTAACAGAACAAGGAGAATTTTCACAGTATACCTGATAACAGTTTTTCTTCTTGAGAAAGTCCTATTTGTTTTATTTTGACTAGAATAAAAGGTTTAAGCAGTAATTAAAAAAAAAAAACATTTTAAGGTCAAAATTATTAGCCACTTTAAGCTAACTCTTTTTTTCGATAGTCTACACAACAAACCATCGTTATACAATAACTTTCCTAATTACCCTAACCTGCCTAGTTAACCTAATTAACCTAGTTAAGCCTTTAAATGTCACTTTAAGCGGTATAGAAGTGTCTTGAAAAACATCTAGGTAAAATATTATTTACTGTCATCATGTCAAAAATATAATAAATCAGTTTTGAGAAATGAGTTACTAAAACTTTTATGTTTAGAAATGTGTCGAAATAATCTTCTTTCCATTAAACAGAAATTGGGGAAAAAATAAACAGGAAGGGGCTAATAGTTCTGACTTTAACTGTATATGAAAAATATGGTAAATAAAATCACATGCCTGTTCAAATAGTTTGTTCATCTTTTATTTTATTTTACTTTAAATATATTCTTAATTGTATTTTTTTACAAACTTTTACAAAGTTTATTCACTGCAGACACCAAACATTTATTAAATTGAATTAGTTTTTACCACTGCAACAACAAAAAAATATTGTATTTTTAATTTAATTTAATTTAATTTAATTGTAAATAATTATTGTTTATTAGCATCTTATTTTGTACCAAAAAAAAAAAAAACTTGCACTTGCCATCGCTGTTACAAAAATATTATATTTTATTTTTTTATAGTATATTATATTATAAAAAATTATATTACATAAATTTTTTATTTATTTATTTTATTTTTTAGCTATTATTGCTAGTCCACCCAGTCAAATAGAGAAAAACCAAATCCAACTTAAATGGATGTGTAAAACAGTATAAACACAAGATAGGACACCATCTGTTTGTTCAAAGTGTTTGCTCACCTTAGAAGCAGCCCAGTCTATCCAGCCCTCAGCGCAGGGGTCCACATTGATCAAAACAAGCCCCTCAACCAGCGACGGATGAATCAGCTGCAGAAAGAGCACAGGATTGAGCCTTTAATGAAGGAAACATGTGGAGAGGGTCTAAAAAATGCATGCAGACACATCAGAATAGGAGCTTTTAGCGACTGAACTCAAAGTATCACCTTTAGCAGCCCCGACCGTCACAGGCATTAATCTTTCAGTATGCCAGACTGCTGCTTTATGACTGGCACTTTATTAAGCCAGACTTTCATTTTATTACTGCTGATATAAAATAATTATTGTGTTTATATTTGCATTTACTGTAATTTTTTGTATTATTTATTTATTGTATTATATTTATATATTTATATTATATTTTTAGAATTGTAATTATAATTGTATTTTATTATTGTTTAATATTTATGTTGTTTCTTTAAATACTGTTTTGTATATGTAATTTTTTTAATGTTTTAATACTGTTTGTACAAAAGAATTCTTGCATTTGTTATTTTAATTATTTATTTTTGTTCTAAACAATGCCGGTACAATGTGTGTGTGTATATATATTTGTATATTATGTATATGTGTGTGTGTGTATTTTTTTTTTTCAATTTCATTTTATTTCTGTGCCATTCCTTTATTGTTATTACAACTGCTGACACAAAATAATTATATATATATTATGTTATTTGTTCATTTTGTCAATTGTTCGCTATTCATTTACTTAAAATTTTACTTAATTACTATTTTTTATTTTAATTTCTCCCATGTTGTTTTTCCACTCTGCTGCTACAAAATAATTCTTGTTTTTATTATTTTATTTTATGTTATTTTGGTTTGGTTTTCAACCAAATCAATGTATTTTACTTATGTTTTTATATATAAAAATTGTTGTATTTATTTATTCATTTATTTATTTGTTTGTTTATTTAATTTTTGTATTGTCTTTACCAAACACTGCTGGATGTAGAAAAAATGAAATATACATTTTATCCATTCTAATTGACCTGGTATGTCAGTCTATGCACGCACATGAAGTAGTATAAATGATACAGGACACATACCAAAAGTGAATGAGGAAAGAGCAGAGATATATTAATAGATATCTTGCATAAAATAAATGCTGAATATATTCGGCCTGTTGGTGCGTCAGAAATGTTTAGACTTTGATTAATGGCTTGAAAAGCTTGAGGCTGCAGTATAATAAAAGTCCTGCAGTCACAGTCTCTGGGGATAATGCAGTTTTGCAGCACGATTTTGACTCAGCTCTAAAAGGCCAGGTGGAGAATATATGATGAAGATATGTGATACTGCTGCTTGATAAAGAGCATGGACACACTACAAATGTGCACCATCCTTTAAGGGATTTTATTGTTAACTAACACTAACTACTAAAAATCATTCATATTGTTTAAAATAAAATAAAATAAAAATGTAATAAAATAAAATGAAATGAAATAAAAAGTGGCCAGTGGTTAAAAACAATCACCTAACAAATAAATTAACATAATTAAAATTATTATTTAGAAATAATTATTTTATATAAATACTGAAATATTGAAATTAATGCAATTTATGAAGAACCTTTAATGCAGGGGTGATACAATAAAATAAAAAACAAATATAAATAAAATGTAATTAAATTACTTAAAAAGGCTGTGGTTAAAACAACATAGAAATATAATAAAATAAAATAAAAAAAATTTTTTACCTTTGCAAATAATTGGAAAAAAAACCTACAAAATTTACTCAAACTAAAAAGAAATTAAAATAAAATAAAATAAAATAAGAATTGGTAAAAAAACAATACAGAAATAAAATAAAATAAGCTCTGGTAAAAATAATACAGAAAAAAAAGCTCTGGTAAAAACAAAACAGAACAAAAATTAAATTAAATAAAAAAGAAAAAAAAGTAAAATAAGCTCTGGTAAAAACAAAACTGAAAAAATAAAATAAATAAAATAAAATGTGGTAAAAATAAAATAAATAAATAATAATAATATAAAATGAAATACACAAATAAAATAAGCTCTGGTAAAACAAAACAGAAGTAAAATAAAACAAGCAGAGATAAAACAATACATAAATTATATAAAATACATAATTTAAGTAATTGAAATAAAAAACTGAAATACAAAATTGAAATACAAAATATGAAAATAGAAAATCGAAAAATAAAACATTTTTATTAAATAGAAATACAACAAGTACAAAAACCACACATAACAATTTCTTAAAATTAAAACTGAAAATAGAAAAAGGAATTCCAGTAAAAAATATGAATATAGAAAATATAGCTATCATGTAGTTCTTGATGTATATTCTGTAATTTAATCTGTTCTATTCTAAAATAAATATTATTAGTCAAACATTATATATGGATGCATGAATAAACATTTTCCTTTCAAAAATGTGTCATTCAAAAATATTGGTAATAGGCCTGTCAAAGTAAAAAATTGAAAATGAGCTGGTATATAGAATATGTGAATTCGTTTCAGTAACTTCACAATCCAGAGAGAGTTTTAAACATCTCTGTAGCTTTGCTAATAAATCAACATCAGTAAGTCAGCAGTTGTTGTTGTTTCTTTGGGCAAAAACAGCTAACGTCAAACAGTTAAACTGTTGGCTTCCCTGCCCCTTGTTTACAGCAGAGAGACGCCAACATGTTGCTAAGGTTATGCCAGTGGGATTGAGAGAGAATTCAGTTTTCTGTGCACACACTGAATGCTAATGTAGGGGATTCAGTTTCATAATAAAGAAAGAGAAAGAACGAGCTAGAAACAGAGACCTTAGGTGAAAGGGATAGTTCACCAAAACAAAATTCAATCTTTTACTCCCACTCCAGTGGTTCCAAACTTTTATTTTGTTTGAGTTTCTTTTTTTCAACTGAACACAAAAAGTTGTATAAAAAATGTAATACTATATTAAACAGTAGTCATTTGACATCCATAGTGGGGGAAAATACTGTGGAAGTCAATGGGTAATGGTTTCCCACATTCTTCAAAATAATGTATTTTTTGTTCAACACAAGAAAGAAACTCAAACAGTTTTTGAACAAGTGTATGGTGAATACATGATGACACAATTAAGTCATAACTCAACTATTCATTTGGTCTCACTTTATAGACCATTTTGAGGAATGTAAACAATAACAATGACCTCAACGTATTCCTTGTTTTGCATTTTAATTTCTATAGCTTCTGAGAATCCAAGCAGAGCCACATATTGATAAATAATGTTATGACAGCTGTTTTACATTACAACTGTTATGATTGAATTGCCTCTTGTTACAGTCATGAAATAGTTTAACATCATTAACATCATCACATTAAAATATTAGTTTATATTGGTTTATAATAGATGGCCTTAACTATGTACTTGAGTCAAAAAATAAACAAAATGTACTTACTGTGTTCACAATGTATTGTAGAACACTTGAGGTAGAATACTGGTGGAGTTAAGGCTGATTTATACTCGACGCGTCCACTAGTTCGCTTGATTGCGTGCTGCGAATGTGACGTCATCGCAGTTTTTGCAGAGGTTTGCTTTGGGGGCGCGCAACATGCTTTCAGAGTGCATTAATTTTTTTAAGACTCGAATGAACAGTTTGCATGGTGCCACGTTTCAATTGAGTTATATTTGAATCACTTTAGGGCTACATGGTGGTGCAGTGGGTAACACGTTCGCCGCACAGCAAGAAGGTCGCTGGTTCGAGCCTCGGCTGGGTCAGATGGCATTTCTGTGTGAAGCTTGCATGTTCTCCCTGTGTTCGCGTAGGTTTCCTCCGGGTGCTCTGGTTTCCCCCACAAGTCCAAAGACATATGAATTAGGTAGGCTAAAAATTGTCCATAGTGTATGTGTGTCAATAAGTGTGTATGAATGTTTCCTAGTGATGGGTTGCAGCTGGAAGGACATCCGCTGCGTAAAACATATGCTAAATAAGTTGGCGGTTAACTCCGCTGCGGCGACCCCAGATTAATAAAGGGGAATAAGAACGAAAAGAAAATGAATGAATGAATGATATTAAAGAGATTTTGGTACGCCTATACAGATATCTTTAAGATCCGTCCATGTGTGATAATAGTGACGAGGCAGTGTGGAGTTTGCATGTTCTCCCTGCCTTCGCGTGGGTTTCCTCCGGGTGATAACCACATGGCCAGTAATTCTTGGCTAGAAATTGCAAGTTTTTGTAAAAAGTTTAGAAAAACTTGAGGGATAAGTTTGTTAAAGCGAAAAAGAGAGGCTGAGGCAAAAGTGGAGACCCAGATGGTTTTAATACATAATTACAAAATATGTTTTTACACCATTCATAGCATTTACACTAATGTATATATTCATTCATTCATTTTCTTGTCGGCTTAGTCCCTTTATTAATCCGGGGTCGCCACAGCGGAATGAACTGCCAACTTATCCAGCAAGTTTTTACGCAGCGGATGCCCTTCCAGCATCCCATCTCTGGGAAACATCCACACACACACTCATACACTACGGACAATTTAGCCGACCCAATTCACCTGTACTGCATGTCGTTGGACTGTGGAGGAAACCAGAGCACCCGGAGGAAACCCACGCGAAGGCAGGGAGAACATGCAAACTCCACACTGCCTCGCCACTAATGTATATATTACAATTTAAATTTAAAACAATTTCTACAAAACTAAAATTAACAAATTATTTCTTTGATAACTGGAAAAGAATATATGAACCTATTGGTTTACAATATACTAATGTCCTGTTTATCTAGGCTTTATTGGTGATAATAGTCAGGAAGGTCTTTTAGGATATAAGTAGAGGACACAAACTAGCCAGGCAGTAATGTGTAAATTGTGGAGTGGACTAAATGGTGTATTTCTTTTGCTTTTATTCTTGCCATAATAAAAAATATATTAGTAGAGCAACCCATGTTTTATTGTCATTAATATGTTAATAAACATCAATAGGTAGAACTGTCCGACATATGAACAAAAGCAAATGATGCATCAAAGTTGGATTTAAAAACAGTCTTGAAGGGTTATAAATTTGTTTATAATAATTAAATTAATTTATGAAAATAACTAGTTTAAAAATCTAGAATGATGTGACGCAGTTTCATAAACTTCCAACTTCTCTGTTTATCCGTCTGATTTTACAGTTGATTTAATATTGACCGCCCCCTGTCGTTTTAAAAGAATATCTCAACTGCGAATGCGCAACCATCTTCATACCTGCTCCCCACTCTTCAATTAGCGCGCACCTTCACCCCCAGTCTCCACTTCGCGTGCACCACCCAGGTAGGTTTAAAGGTGGGTTAAGATGTAAGGAATGGTCAACAGTGTAATTAAAGATGTAATTACATGGAGGTATTTAATCAATCATCAGTTCAATGTCAAAACATGTGTTTACACAGTAACTACAAGCAATTAATTTCAGTGTAAGTTCATATTAGTTAAGACCACCATAAAGTGGGACCATTCATTGAATCAAACTAAAAAAAAGGACTTACAGCGAAGCGGGTTAAGATGTACGCTCCTGCGCCCACTCCAATGCCAATCACACTGTTCACCCTGCAAAAATGGACACAAACCTGTGTCACTTCTGATGGTGGTTTTCATCATTGTGTTTCCTACAGTGAAATACTGTAATTGGCTTAAATCGTGACAAACTGCCATCATGAGCACTTCTGTCAGGCCGAGTCCTTGCGATACAGCCGTGTTCAGACACACGGAGCTCGTGATGGATGTGCTGGAGGGTAATTCAGGACTAATGGAGCGCTTTGACTTTGATACTCACTTCAGCTGAGTCAGGACTGAGGGCAACATCTCTGCCAGCTCGTCCATGGTAGGATACAGGTATCTGAAAATTCAACAAAGACAATGACATTAGATGACAAAACAATGACATTAGATGACAAAATATTGGATATTTGATGGTGCAGTGCACGTGATTAATTCTGTAGGGAAAGAGGTTTCATGAGTAATTTGATGTATAAATGCATTTGTCGACTGGAGTATTCTCATAATAGCATTTTAATGTTGTTGAGAAATCCTAAGCTTACTGAGCGGCATTATCAGTCACCTTTGAGGAAGTATTGGCATAACTGTCTTTTTTAATGTATATTGATTGGTTTTTATTGTATTGTTTGTCTTCTGTTGCTAATGGACCTAGTTTCTGAAACTAAAGTGGAATATTGGTTCTATTAAATGTGTTTTCTTGGGATGCAGTTTTCATAGTGTTGTTCTAGTGGGTCACATTTTCACATAAAAAGCAGCACATTTCAAAGCATTTTTTCTTTCAAATCTTGTGTTAAACACCAAAAATCCTACTGGTTACACCTTTTTGTCCAATTATCAGATGATTTATTGATGTTAATGTTTAAGCCTAAGATAAGAATTATTAAATTTTAAATGACAGAAGAAAATACATGAGCTGGTTGTTCAAAAATATGAGAAAAGATTTTACAAATGATTTGGTAAAAAAAAGCTTGTTAATTTGAGTTTATTGTAAAGTTGTACAATAAATTTGAGTTTATTGTAAAGAATATTTTAATGTATCGTTGGACAAAATGCTACATGTTAAATGTTTGTTTCTATCCCTGAAACTGAAACTTTTGGTATGTGATTGCTTTTGATAATTTGAGGGCTGCTTTAAAACTAATACACAGGGGTCAGGGATGAAAAGGAATTTTTAAGCACCAAAACAATAAAAGTGTGATACAACTTTATTTCGTTTCCATTATTAGGGGCCGATCACACCAAACAGGATTTTTGCGTTGAGAGGTGCATCTTTTGAATAGTTTACTAAAGGCCGAGAGTTGTTTTGCGCATTGCTAATGTGTCCTGCGTGCCTTGTGTTTTAACTGCCTGCTGCACTTGCATTTTTTTTGTTGCACCATGTGTGCTCGCAGTTAAAAAAATAAAGTGCCTTATGTCACGCGCGCTGTTTTTCATTATCCAATCAAATGAAAGCAGAGGCGTGGTTTCCATTGTATTTGAAGCAGTGGTATTTGTGTTTTCAAGATGACTACGGAGACTTTAAAGATGAACGAGAGACTAGCAGTTGCAATTGTACTAATATCAACAATGCTCACGCACAATACACAAGCTGATTCAGTGGTTGCCTAGCAGCATAAAAAGCACAGGAAGTTTTTTTTTTTAACAAAAATAGACAGTGTGTTGCACCTCAAGTTTTTAGAACGAAAAAGTGCATTTGATGTGATCTGCCACTCAGAATGTCCCCTTATTATATCAGAAGATACATACACAAATGTCAACAAAAAACTGAATGTAAGAATAGTTTATACACCAAAATAAAATTGTTTGGCTTATATGTAGTGCAAGTAGAGTAAAAGTATCTGTTGTAAATTCTACTTAAAATATGTGTAAAAAGTAGCCCTTTTTAAAAGTACTCTAGAGTAGTGAGTATTACGCTGTGAAATTGCTGGTGAGTTTATATGTAATTTGTGCACATGTGTGTAAACGTAACATTCTGTAGTGGATTTAGTTACTGTTTAAGACTATTTGGTGATTTCATACCAGCAGGCACAGGACATCAACATGACATCAGATTGATGTTGTTACCCCAAAGTCGTGGGAAAATCGTGTTAACATAAGAACTCAACATCAGGCAGACATCAATGTTCAACATCGGACAGATGTTGCATTTTAGCTACTTTCCAATGCAACCTAAAAACAACTAAATATCAACATCTAATAATGTTACAGCTTGATGGTGTGTGGACGTTACCAATATGACGTCTATCAGATGTTAGATTTTAGTTTCCATGCCTGACGAATTAATGTCAGCATTTGACGTCAATATGACGTTGGTTTAAGATGTTGGTTTGACATTGGATTTTGGTCACTTTCCAACACAACCTAAAATCAACCAAATATCAACATCATTTCAAGTCAATAATGAACGTCAAAATAACATTGTCCTTAGACTCTGGTGACCTAAATCCAAGCTAATACTAATGAATTATGCCACTGTGTCTCGGCTGGGATTAGTGACATGCAGTCTAAACACTCTCATGCTCATTGTTTGTAAAGATTTTGGACACTTATTTCTTGGACACTTGTAATGCTTCCAATTGGTTTGCTGCATTTATAAAGCACCCATGCCTTAAAATTGTTCAGTATAATGTGATTTACTATCTATGTGTGATTTTGGCAGGAATCACAGGACTGATCTTTCTACTGATTAGAAAAAAATTAAGTAGTGACTGCAGGTTGAAGGAAAATAGTGAAGTAAAAGTATCGATACAGCACAAAAAATGTACTCAAGGGAAAGTAAAAGTACACATCTTTAAAACTAATTAATAATAATTCCTGAGAAAAACCACACAATTACAGTAATTTGAGTATTTATAATTTGTTACTTTACACCACTGCTTTGGATCAATTAAATGCAGGCTTGGGGAGCAGAAGTGACTTCTTAAAAAACATTACAAATCTTACTGTTCTGCAGCTGTGTTTGATGTCATAAATTTACAAAATTGATTTATATATGGAGTTACATTTTTGACAAAAAAAAATGCATTCCTATTTTGTGAACAAATAAACCAACAACCAATCAAACAAACTGTATGAGTATCGTTTTTTTATTTATCCAGCCATTCTGTATTCTCATATTAAAGATTTTGGCTGTGCAGCTGTGGCATTTACCCTGTAGGAAATGGGGGTCCTCCCTCCTGCTGTCCAGGAGCATCAACATGAACCACAGCGAAGTGCTGAGTGATCTCCATCATGTCCTCAAAGTTGAACAGTGTGTTGAAGCAGGACTTGTCTGAAAACCACCCAAACACCATTATCATTCTCAGATTTACAAACAAGCAACATTTTTAACATTCAGTCATTTTAATAGTTTATTCACATACGGTTCAGGCCGATGTCATGGTAGGTCAAAATGACGGGACGGTTGCCTTTAGGGCTGCCTCTCATGGTCACATGGAGCACACCGTGGGGCGTCTCAATGTCATGCTCCTGAAACAGAGGACAACAAGTCAAATACAGGTGATAAGATCTCTCCGCAAAATGCTTGTGGATTTACTATGCAACAAAGCTAGCGAAGTGTTGCTGCTGTTTTTTTCAGGAAGCATGTATTTGTGTGGTAAGTGATATCTCCCATGAGGCGACTCGGGCAGATGGTTGTAAGATCAATAGAAAGATCCAGATAGAAGGCCAAGCAGCTGCAGACAGTCACGATTCAGTCCTATCACACATCAGTGCTACTGCAATATGGGTATGGGCCTTAGAAATGTTGGTTTACACTAAATTATGATTATTAATAAAAAAACGTGTGAGGATTCAATTGACAATCAGTGAACTGATTCATTTTGATTGTGTATACTGTCTTAATGTAAGAAAAAGAAATGTACAGCTCTTAGACACTAATATTAATGTATTTAAATGTTGAAAGGATGAACCGTGAACTCTTTGCGCTGTAATTTCTCTCCAGCCATCATCATCTACATCTGTTTAGGATGAAATCCAAAATCTATAATGCATCCTTCCAAGAGCCCAATTAGTGCAATGATATTGGAGTTATTTATTCCGCCATTAGATACGCAAGACACACACTCACATTTTACACTACCATTTAAAAGTCTGGGTCAGTGAGATTTTCTATGCAACAAGAAAGCATTAAATTGATTAAAATAAAATTGTCATTGAAAATATTTTTAAGATTACAAAATATTTCTGGGCAGTTCATTACGCTGTGCTGACTCCTGATAAATAAGGGTAATAAGGAATAAGGAAAATTAAAGAATATTTCTGTTTCAAATAATTATTGAATTTTTATTTCACCGAGTAATACTGATTTGTTTTAACACTGACAATAATAAATGTATCATTCATGAATGATCATGTAACAGTAAAGAATTCTGAATTAAAAGTATTTTAAAACCAGTATTTAAAAAGTTTTGAAATGAATACAGTTTTTCTTTAGTTTTGATCAAATCTTGGTGGGCATAATGGATACTTTGAACATTAAAATATCTTACTGATTTTAAATTGGTAATATATGTGACAAGCTGACCCAAAAAGAATCACTTCCTCTGATAAAATCAAAGATATCTATCAAAATGGACAGCAGACGGATGCTTCCGGAGCCATTAATGGGAGTGGCTGCAGAACTATTACAATAGCGGCATCCTGACTCTGTGACTTTGCAGAACTGTAACACACTGCAGCCCTCGTGACAGACGGTCTCCCTGCACCGTCTGATTCATATTGCAAAAAAGTCAGAAAGCAAAAAGGCTGAAATCACCAGTCACAATATAATTGGCTTCCTTTGTGCAACTCACAGGAGGTTACTGGAAGTTGTTTTTATACAATTTGAGACAAACAGAAAGCTTTGTTTGAGAAGAAATTCTCATAAGACAGTACATCCATCTGTTTCTCATCCGTTTTAAATTTGTGATATGGTGAACACTCCAGAAAGATTTCTTTGCAAAAGAAGAGCCAACTGAGAGATCAAACAGTCTAAGAAAGTCTCAACTCAATATATATCTGCTGACATTAACAACTATAATTGTTTTAATGATTTATTCACTCTGCATATTAGCAGAAGTAGATTGGGTTGTTGGCGAGAGAGCAAACCTTGGAATGTCTTCAGTGCTTTGTGTTAAGGAAGGACCAACTAAATTGCTTGTTTTGTCCATTTATCCTGGATGGAGCATCATGTTTAGTGATGTATATATGTATATGTACAGTATATACTCATGTCACTATATATAGTACATATATAGGGCTTTATGTGTGTGCTTGAGAGAGAACATTTTGCGCATCACAGCTTCCTCTCCATCAATAATGAAATGAGTCACAGCAGAGGGACACACAGGAGTCTGAGACAGGAAAAATTAGCTTCTGTACCGAAGCTCTTTGTGTAATAAGATTCACATAACTGTGACTGGCGGTTATTTGTTAATCTAGTAAAGCTGATTACAATACGTTAATAGAACCGGAGCCTTTTCTTTTCAAATCAGACTAGGTAACTTCATTGATTTTGGTGTAAACGACTAGCTGTAAAATAGTAATTTAAAAATTAAGATCTGCGTCCAATCAAAAAAAGACTCCGCCTTTAGATACCACTCCACCCCCCCTTTTTTTTTTGGAAAAACCTTAATGTAGTTCACAATACAGACAAAAAGATCTCTTAAAATTAACATCTCAATGCAAACTCTATTGGTAATTGAATCCATGAAAACAAAAAATATTGATGACTCATCCTGCATTATGTAGATTTTATCCAATCAAAAGTTTCTGAAGACTGTTCCATGCATCCATTCAAAAAAGGTCCCTTCCTCCAGATTTTTTTTTATTTTTTTATTCAATGTAGATTACAATACAGACAAAAACATCTCTTACATTTAACATCTCAATGCAAAATCTATTGTTAATTGATTCCAGGAAAAAAAAAAATATATATATATATATATATGTATATATATTGATGAGTCATCCTGCATTATGCAGATTTTCTCCAATCAAAACTCTCTGAAAACTGCTCCATTCGTCTATTCCTAAAAGTCCCTGCCTCTAGATTTTTACCTTTAAAAAAAAACTTCAATGTAGATCTCAACACAGACAAAAAGATCCTTTAAAATTAATATCACAATGCAAACTCTATTAGGAATTTATTCCATGAAAACAGACCAAAAAATATTGATGACTCATCCTGCACTATGCAGATTTTCTCCAATCAAAACTCTCTGAAGATTGTTCCATCCATCCATTCAAAAAAAATTCCCTTCCACTAGATTTTTCTCTTTAAAAAACAAATACAAAAAAAAAATTTCAATGTAGATCACAATACAGACAAAGAGATCCCTTAAAATAACATCTTAATGCAAAATCTATTAGTAATTGATTGCATGAAAACGAACCAAAAATATTGATGACTCATCCTGTACTATATGCAAATTTTCTCCAATCAAAACTCCCTGAAGACTGTTCAACGCCCTAATATCACAATCTAGTGAGCAGAAAAATCATGATTCATGGGTGTGATGTAGATTAAGCAACTTGGCTATTATTCATGAAATATGTCAAAACAGATTTCAATAGCAAATGCATCGATGTAGGAAAGAAAACTGCCCTTGTCAAATGATTTTAAGGGGTCTTGCAGGGTGAGATCAAAAATAGGTGCAATTTAGTAGCGCTTGCAGTGAGGCATGCAGATTGTCTGGAACAAACGCCTGGCGTGAGTCCGAATGTTTTCAGGTCTCTGTGATATGAATGATCAAGGCCAGAGAGTGGGAGAGTCTGAAATGTAACATTAAAAAAAGCCTCTTCTAAACACATTGTCAATGTTTCAGACACACATTGTACGCTGATGTGGGTCTAGAGAGGGTGGGAGAGAGGGGTGAGGAATAGGAATGAGCCTGAAGAAAAGAAGACTAATTCAGAGGGACAAATAGTGTTGGGTCATTATAATCACTCACTATCAAAATCTGGCTGTGCGAGATGATCTAAACTGAGCAACTGAGTTTATTAAAAACAGAAACGCAATATGATGAAATACTATTGATGTCAAATGCCGCAATTATCTTTCGTTCTTCGCTATTTAAAAGAGGGAAATTGGTATGGAAAAGGGAACACTGCAATGTTTGTAACCTGCTGCTCCCAATCAAGAAATGCTGATTAAACAGCCTGCAGGGGTGTGAAATATATATTGTAGATGGTAATAATATACTTGTTTTAATGATAAGCAGTTTTATCAAGTATGTCAGTCTCTTTGTAAAATATTTTTTTCTCCTCAGACTAAAAGCACTGACTGCACAAGAAACCTACAAGAATTTAGTCAACCCATTTTTTCTTCTTCTATTTATTAGACATAAAATTGTTAAGTTCTAAACAAGTTTTCCTAAATATTCACAAATAATGTAATTCCATATGTAATATTGACTATACCAACTAGGGATGCTCAATATATCGTTTCAGCATCGATATCGCAATGTGCATGTTCGCAATAATTACATCGCAGGGATCTGCAATGTAGTTGGGATTATAGTTGACCCGACATTAAAGTTAACAACATTGTGGAGCAATTTCATATTATAATCTTAGAGTGAAAGTTTATTATTTGCATGTGTTTTAAGACCTGACTGTAAGAATTTAAAGCAAATTTAAGCCATTTGGGCACATTAAATGAAACCTTTATAGCTTAAAGATTAATTGTACATTATATATTAATAATTAAAATTATAATTAATAATATAATTAAAATGATACGTTGTAGTTGTTGCTGTTGTTTTTATTATTATTATTATTATTATTATTATACAGTGATTATTTAATTTCTGCTTTTGAATACCGCTTGACTTGCCAGAAAATCATAAATCATTGTTTATTTGCATCTTTTCTCTGTAGTATTTAACTTTGCTTGTCATTTCTTGAATTTGTTTTATGCAGATTCGTTCCCTTGCAGAATTATCCAAATCGATCTGAAATTTTGATTTCTTTAAAGCTATTCAAGTCAAATGCTGAAAGTGCATTTATATCGCAATATATATCGCAATGAATGAAAACCTTGCATTGTCAGTTTTTTCCAATATTGTGCAGCCCTATCACAAACAGTTGTATCATGTAACATTATAGACACAACATTATCTGGTTCCAAATAGATAGTTCTGTAGTGTGCTGTTTCAGAACAAATCTCTTTTTAAATTAATCAACTGAATGATTCTTAGGGCGTTTATAACTAGGCATGGTTGCCTTAAATCGTGCCGAGGTGCGATTGTCCCCTCTCCCCCGATGACCAGCACTCACACTGCATCTTGCTTTCCGAACCTGAGCATGCTTAAGTCATTGATAATGCAACTGTTTAGTAACAGAAAAAAAGCGCTCTCGCTCAGCACAGTAAAAATTGCATTAGTTAAATCGTTTTGTATTATTTTTAGTCATTTGGGATGCAGTGACACGTAGTGAAATATTTTACTGAACAGATCCTCAACTTTTGGTGCTCATAAATTATTATAAAAGTCCTCATGCTGCAGGTATTAGGAGGTGCAGCTGACGTGCAGCGAGGGGTTTGCGTTCATTAAAAAGTGAGAATGATTAATAAATTCATATGAAACAGCCCCTTAAAAGTGACGTCGCACTTCAGTTTCGGGCTCGGGCGTGATTTGCACTCACACTAAAAGCGTACCACGCCGAAGCCCATCCAAACTGCGCTTTGGCACACCTCTTCCAACGATTCAGAGCACTTACATTTGTCAAACGAACCAGGAAAGGCAGTGTGGGTGCACCTTTACTTACTTAAGGCCTACTTACTATACTGTATTTCTAAATGACTCAGCTTTTTTGAACGAATTGCTTGAATGAATGATCAAAGACTCACTCACTAAGGCAAGGATTTGCACCACCTACTGGCAGTTTTATTGTGATATTTATATAACCACGAGAATGTAAGCCTCTAAAAATAGCTAATTTAGTAGTACTAAACCTCCCAGGATGTATTGAGATATTGTTTTTAATATTGCACATACATAAACTGCAATCTTTCTTGAGAAACTGGTAAGAACATTGCTGGTTAATTTAGTTCAGAGGCTGATCGGGCAAATTTCAAATATAAATTCCTGGTAAAAAATAAAATATTTACACACCAATATTCATATTATGTTTTGAGTTCCTAAATTGTGCATTCTTGATTGAAAGTAAAATCTGAATAGCTCACTTATATACCAAATACATGGTTTTCCTCTTGCATCCAAACATTTAAACCTGGAAAAAGCACAATCAATGCAGCTCTTCTTTGGGAAGCAGAGGCTAAGCCAAGGTGAATGAATGAATTCAAGAAAAAACAGTATAAGCCTTTGCCCCCCCACACCCGCTTCTCTACCTAATAGCATCAATCACAGACCACAAGCCTGGGAGCCATTACACAGCACAAACTTGACGGCAGATCACTATTATACACACACACACACACACACAGATGCGAATACACACCATCCATACTAATGCATTGTTAGGGAAAAAAACACACATACAGCATACACTCTCCACCACACCCTGCCAGTAGTGCTAGTGTTTTTAAGTACTCCAAATGTCCTTCATTTACTTGACCTATTAGTCAGTCATCGGGACGTTTGCCACATTTATAGCCACAAAACCCCCCAAAATGTAACCATCAACCCATAAACAACGTCTGATTTTGAACCTTCTAAACTAAAAATATTCATAACTAACACTTTAGTCTCAAACTGGATGAATCTGAGGTAAAGTAAACAAGCCGAGAGAAGCATGACTCGCATGACAAACACATCAGAGAGAATCTCATATGACATCAGGCATGCACATTTCTGCTAAAAGGAAAAGTCAGGAATCAGTAGTAGTGTCTCTCTGACGCACACACGCACACACACTCACCACTGCATCTCCAGTACACGCATTCTGCTCCACATCCAGAACGGTTGACATGTTTCCACACACGAGACAGTGACAGCTTCACAGAGGAGACAGGAAGAGATGGGAGGATCCAGGAGAGAAACACAGAGTGGCTGAAGGAGGGATGGAGGAGAACGGACAGGGACAGCAGTAGCTAGGCAGAGATCCAGAAGGGAGGGGAGGCGGAGGAATGAAGAGAGGAGGTATGTTTTGAAAGAGAGAGAGAGATGCAGAGAGAGCGGGGAGGAGAGAAAAGTGACTGCGGTTTGCGCTGGGGAGGCAGTGCTTGCTCATGCATATGCCAGCGGCTGCTCTGATTGGACGAGAGGGAGTCAGGTGGGCAGGAGAAGGGATGAGAGGGGCAGGGCTGATACAGAGAGATGATGATGCTCTCCACTGCACTTTATTATTTGTTTTTGGGTGGGGTCAACCAGTTCAGAGGAGAGGTGCAAACTGATCTGACCTTGCACATCCACACATTTGGACTAAATATATTGATTAGATGTTAGTCATGCTAGTGATGTTCAGATGCTTTAGGATCAGGACAGATTTGGCTGTCAACATAAGATCACAATTGATTATCTTACAAAAAAATACAATCAGGTTTTTATTATTTATTCACTTTTCTTTCACCTTTGAATATTCTTATGAAATACAATAACATGTTTTTGATGTCTAATATTTTAAATGTATGGTGCTCTGCAAAACTGAGTACACCCCATTTTAAAAATTAATATTTTTATCCATTTTTCAGTGAATATAGGCAATGCATTTTGGTGCATTTGAACAAAACTCATTTTTATTAAACATATATATTTATTTAATAATATTTTAGTCACCATACACATTTAAATAGTAAGATATTGCAACTAAATTCAAGTAAAATGTTGCAAAATATTACAAACTACAAAATTTCAACAAAATTTTCAGTTTTTTTGCTCCTCCTGATCTTTCCTCTTTCTTAATCTTTTCTCTCAAATTTCAAATTTAATTCAATGCATCTTTATTTCTATAGCACCTTTACATTGTAGTCAAAGCAGCTTAACATAGAAGATTATAGTAAATGGAAACTGTCAGTTCAGTTTTCAGAGTTTAAGTTCAGTTTAGTTCAGTTCAGTGTGCTTTAAATTTCACTGCTGAGAGTCCAAACATTGAAGAGCACATCCATCGAAATCAAATCAAAATTTATTTCTAGTGCACACTTAATTACAACCTTTGGTCCAACCTTGGACCAAGGTGCTGTACAACAGCATTAGCAGGTAAAAAAAAAACACCAATAAAATGCAATAAAAACAACAATATAAAACATTAGTAACAACAGTAAAAGTGAGAGAAAAGCAATTTAGTATAGCCTGGAACAGCCATTGGGGAATATTAAATGCACTTGAAAAAAGATTTGGGTGCTATTCTGATTTTTAATAGTAACTTACTCCATAGTTTCGAACTCACAACTGCAAAGGCTCTATTGATCCTGCATTTGAGATGAGATCGAGGTATTTGCAATTGATGGCAGTCAGAATTTTATCTAAGGCTAAGCGATCATGTTTGGGCCTTAGCAGTGATCAGATCAGAAAGATACAGGGGCGCTATAGGTTATGCAAGGTTTTATAAACAAAGAGTGAAATTTTATAGTCTGTTCAGAAACGAACCGACAACCAATGTAGTTATCACAATATTGGTGTGATATGGTCATATTTGTGGCTGCTCATCAGCAAACGGGCGGCCACATTTTGGACCATTTGAAGTCTAGAAATAGAACATGAAGGTAGACCAATATATTTAGGTTGACTAGTTTTTGGACCGTTATTGTATATTATTTTGTTAGATAAGCTCCAGATTTGGTTTCAGTACTGACTAATCTACTGTAAAAGCATAAAATATAAAATTGTATAGCTTCTTATTAAAATTATTCCAGGTCGATTTTTTCAATTACTTTCCCTACTGTGTGTTGAGTCACCTGACCCGCTCATGTACAAGACATGTTATAAAAATGTAGCTGCTGAACTGAAAAATGTTCAGCGCTTTGCAGCCATATCTGATCTCTGGTCAAGTAGAACGATAGACCCATTCTTGAACCTTATTTTGCACTATACACTGATGATTTTGGAAGCTGCGCCAGAGATGCCTTAGGTGTGTGTTTCCTTCAATTATTTTAAAATCAAGTAATCCACCCTTCATTCGAAAATCTCTCACTTGTAACATGAGCATATTTACAGTGTGAGGGCAAAAATAAATAAATAAAACAAATAAATAAAATAATGGTTCATTAATCATAATCAAGTTAAAATGTTCAATTAATCAAATTGTTGATTTTAGGCCAAATCGCCCAGCCCTATTTTGTATTTCTGTGATATATATGGTGATATGAACATAATTTCACAAAATGACTTAAGTAACTGGGAACAATTCACAATTGTACATTGATTGGGATGATTTTGTAGGGGAGTGCACCTGCATAAAATACATATAAAAATGTATTTAAAAAATTTAAACACAGATAAAAACAAAATAAACCATGTTTTATGGTTTTTGGTGGAATATTGCAAAACTGAGGTAAAAAATAAAAAACTCAATCCTCTAATCTAAAATAACACTGTATAGTCTTAATTTGATAAATAACTCCGCTCAATTAATCTTTGTTAAAGTGGCAAACTTTCTAATGTCTTGTTCCCAAATGATTTTAAATTTGTTTTAAATCTTAAAGTCACAAGCCTTAAAAAATCCATCTGAGTAAAACAAATCATTCAAACTAATAGATTATGGTTGAAATTCACCATGACTCAACAATCATGTACTGAATTGTTATTTTTAGTTAATCCCAACTTAACATCGCACATCCTGCAATGTGACTTAATTGCGGATACGGACATTGCAATATCAATGCTGAAATTATACATTGTGCATCCCTAATACAAATCAATAACATCTTTGCATAAATAGGAAATATTCTCTTTTGTTAAAACTTACATCTAAATAATGGTGTTTTAAGGTGTTTTAAGGTGTAGGACTTTTGAACCTGTTTAAAAATGTATGTATTGTGTATTAAAGGGGTGGTCTAGAGAGTATTTTTTGTATTTTTAAGACTTGGTTGTGTTTATAAGAAGCAATGCAATGTGTGCTCATGCTTCACTTGTAAAAGAAATATCATGTTATTTTTTTCATATATCTTACTTGAATTATATACAGCTACTCAGGTAACATAAAAACGGCTGTCATATTTCCTAATTCCTCTGAAAGCCGGCCCTCAAGAGGCTCTGATTGCTCAGTTAACATAATGTGCTGTGACTCGTAGATCGGCACCAGGAAGCGTCACTGTTATAACATTACAGCGCATCTGGCCATGCCACTTTGCTGCACGGGGTGTTTGCGTGTAACCTGAAGGGTTTATGACATCATTAACCTGGATATATTTCTTTGTAGTCCCAAAACTTTGTTCGCTGTAGGCCTTGCTAAGTTAACTCTATAAAAGCCAATGTCTCCCTTTGCATTGAACTTTAAGCGCATGACATTTAGAATTGCTGTTTATGTTCACACAGCTAGTTTAAAATATGATATCGTAGTGGACCATCCCTTTAATAATTTTAAACAGATTTAACATTTGTGTATGCGTCAAAGAAAACTTCCAAAAAAGTTTTGATTAAACCAAATGATTAAAATATAATAGTGCTTTAAATGTAGTTGTTTTCCCACTGTGCATTGGAATGTGTTTTACCATGATTTACAGAAGACACCAAATGGTATTTGGCATGTAACAGTACTGTAGTTCAGTGGTTCTCAAAGTGGGGGTCGGGATCCCCCGAGGGGTCGCGGGACAATGAATGGGGGGTCTCCTGGTGATTTCCAAAAATCTATTTATTTTTATTAAACCCAAGTTGATTATAGTTATACTATATAGTTACTATAGTAGCTTATAGTTACTAGTTCTATTGGACTGCAACCCCTGGGGTAAATACATTACATTAAAGACACAGCAGTAGCGTCAGATGCAGCAGATTGATTTTATAATACCAGGTTAAACTTTCTGGCACATTTACAGCACTGACTGAAAATTAAACAAAGAATAGACTTCGGTCTGTTGGAGTGTGCGCGCCATTGCATGCAAGGTTTCTATATTTATAGCCACCTCAGAGGATATTGGGGGTCGCGATTTACTGCCATTGTCATTTTAGGGGTCGCGGGCTGAAAAGTTTGGGAACCCCTGCTGTAGTTTATATACCAAATTATCCATTTGTTACTAAAGAGGTTAAAAAGTTATAATATAATTTAGTATGATCAATATTCATACTAAAAATATATTAATACAATCTTAGTTATGTATATATACAGTGCTCAGCATATATGAGTACACCCCCCAGAAATCTCTTAATTACATTGATATTTCTGTAGGATGCTTTATATATTATATTTGTGCATATACATTAGTTTAGTCAGTGCTGAAGCCAAATCTGGAGCTAATCTAACAAAATAACTTATGATAACGGTCCAAAAACTAGTAGCCCAAATTTATATGTTAGGGAAAAAATAGCAAAAATCAAGAGAAACAAAAAATATACAATTTTGTTGAAATGTTGTAGATTGTAATTTTTTTTTTGCAATATTTTGGATGAATTTAAATGTATTATCTTTCCATTTCTTAAGATGTTCTGTGACTCAAATATTATTTTAATAAATATATCTTTCTAAGAAATCTCTTTGTTCAAATGCACCAATAAATCTTCCCATATTCACTGAGAAATGGATGAAAAATATTTATATCAAAATGGGGAGTACTCATATATGCTGAACACTGTATATCTGTTATGATGTTATAATCATTTCACACATATTTTACATTTAATTTTCACAAATGCAAATTGAAACATTATAATATACATTTTCCTTGCATTTAATATAATTTCTATCTATATCAAATGTTTTGTAAATGTATTTTTTGAAGAAACAAAAATGGGATGTTTCACCTTTGACTTGAATGTCTGAATTGTATTTTCGATTATTTATTTAAAAAAGCCAAAAAATAAAAAATAAAAAAGTAAACCTATTTTCTGTGTCCATGGATACTCTAATGTTTATTTCTTAATTGTCAGCACTTTGAGTCTAAGCAAAGCACATTACAAATAAAATTTATTATTATTGTTATTATTATTATTTTTATTATTATTATTAAACACTGCAGTAAATGCTCATGGTTTCGAAGCACAGTTTGTGCTCAGTAAAGGAATTTTGTGGCCCTGCAGAGAGGTGCACTATGGTCTCATGTGA